CGATCCTCCCCATCAGGAACACTCGCCCAACGGCGAAGGAGCTGATTCGGCTGCGCAGACCCTGGTGCAGCCTTTGGCGCGTGAAGAGCTCGAGGCAGGAGAAGACTCTGCCAATAATTTTTTTGCCGCCCTCTCAGCCAGTACCACCCAGACTGCTGTGGCCGTGCCGGAACCGCCGGCCGCTGGGACAACCTCCAACCTTGCCCTCGCCACTTTTACCTCCACTGCACCTGCCTCAGTCAACCCTGTTCCAGTCGCCTCTGCTTCAGTCGTCCCTCCCTCAGACATTGCCGCTTCAATCGCGTCATCCACCGATGCCCGCGTGACCTTGCTGCAAACCAACACCAACGCCTTCAACTGTCCAGATGCTGATGCCATAGCAAAGACGCCCAATCCCGACTTGACTACCAATCTAAGCAGCGGTCTTTTGCTCGGTCCCATGGAAACGCACCACGCGCGGAACACCAAGCGTCAAAGCCCCTTGAGTCGCACGGCGGCAAGGCAGCGCAAAAAACAGGAGCTCTTGAGCCGTGTGCCTTTTGGAGGCGATGTCAGCCACTTGGTACGTCTTCCCGGTCTCTGCGTAGCTCCGTGCGATCACGACGAGTATCTGAGAGAATCGTGCGCTTCATTCTCATTTGTACTTCCATCTTCGTTGGCTTCACTCTCATCTGTATTCCTCGTCTTCATCATTGCATTCAGGTGACAAGTCCACCGTGCACCACGCCGTCTACGGCGGCATCAGAGACATCACATGCAAGTACCGAGGCGCGAACACGAGAAGCCTCAAGCGCCGCTGCGGACCGTAGCCCTTCCCCATCAATCGTCCAAACTCGGTCTCCACGTCGAACACACCTTGCACGAGTGGCGCAGTGGCAACCACATCCCAAGAAGAGAAAATCGTCTAAGTCCACCCAATAAGGAAACAGCTTGCTTACTAAGTGTTTGGAAAAAAAATTGTCCCGGGCGTTTGTCAATCGAAATAAACCTTGAATGACCATTGATCAATCAGAACTTGTCTTGTCCATCTGCCTCTACCCACCAAGTTGTCTCATTGCTTCGCTGACTCGTCTTATGGCGCTGCCATTTGACATACCAATCGGAGCCATGTAGCCCTAGAGAATCAAAACTAAGTTAGTTTTGTAAGGAAAAGAAATGGGATTTATTTCAGAATAACTAATTTTCTGGTCTTTGGGCTGCTACGGCATCCACAGGAAGCGTATGAACACAAGAGCACCCTCGTTTGATCCACAAAAATTTAGCGCTTCTGCTGTGCTTGATTTGAAACGTACTTCACACAGAATGGCCGAGCACGACCCGAAATACTGACTGCCAATAAAATGGTGTTCGCCTCGAATGAATGGCAATATATTGTTACAAAAAGGAGAGTATGATTATACTTTATGAAGGACCGACCCAAGTGTATTCATGCGAAGATGAGTTAGGTACATTCGACAGAGACACAGACACAGACAGCGACAGAGACACAGACACAGACACAGACACAGAGAGTGTGTGTGTTTGTTTGTGTTTGCAAGTGTATCAAGGAAAGCCCCCTTTGACCCCCTTTGATGGCCTACACCCCATCTCTTAAAGATCACCCAGATCCAGTCTGTTCTCTACCCGCTTACCAAAATAGCTCTGATTTTCAAAATTTTTGACCTGAATTCCATTCTCTCTCTAAAACATCCCCCTGAAAGGAGCATATTCTCTCAAGATCTCTCTCTCCCTCTCTCTGTTTCTCTCTCGCTCTCTCTCTCACATTCTTGTCTCTCTCTCTCTCTCTGTCTCTCTCTCTCTCGCTGTGTCTTCAACCGGGAGGAGGGGGCGCTGAGACGAGTGGCGGCGGTGGCGGCGGCGGTGGTGGCGGGAGGTGAGCAACGGTGAGATCGCTGGTTTGGGTGTGGATGGCAGGTCAAGAGCAACCCGTCTTTGGCCCTTGTGAGGGTTGTCAAAGCAGACCACCATGCGCGTACACGTGTAGCCCAAAGGCCAACACGGCGCCCCCCCGCTGGCTCCGCCCGTGCACCGATTCTTCTTTCGCTCATTCTCGACCCTTGTTCGCGGGGGTGGCTGCGTTTCTGGCAGTGGTATTTCATCTGTAGTTTTGGACCTCAACGTGTCGCACCGCGCGGCGCTCCGGCCTTGTCGCCCACTGCTGATATCACCTCGAGATCAGCTGTGTTGGCGCACAACGGCATCTGTGGGTAGACGCCCAGACGTTGATAGCAACAGGTAGCAAAAGGTAGTATTCCATCTTTCCGAACATGCTCTTGTCCTTGACATGACACTGCCACCCTCCCGCCTCCGTTACCCGCTCTCCTACCTCATATGTTTCCGCCCCCCCCCCCTCCCCGCCGCATCGCTTCGCACGCTCAGAGAAACCAAGAGACCAACTGGTCATGTTGAGCGGGGGCGGTGAAGGCGCGGGTGAATTCACCCCGCTAAAGCTCTTTTCCAATGTCTTTATCAGCTTTGTGGGGGCGGGCGTCCTTGGACTGCCTTTTGCTTACCGCGAAGCTGGCCTACTCGAAGGCACCGTCACCATGATTACCGTCTCTGCAATTTGGTCAGTCAACTTGAGCGCCCACCTCGCCACTCACGCATTTGAGCATGCCCCGGGTGCCCCGCTTCGCTCTGTGCCCCTCACCTCTTGCCCTGCTCAATTTGCTGGCAATCCTTCACCATGCACAACCCTCTTTTCTTTGATCCGCATCTCTTAGCATTCGCGCCATGCTGCTGCTCGTCGAGTGCAAAAACTATCGCCTCGCCAACGGCTCAGCGGTTGGTGCATTGCCCCCGCAACCTCTGCTCCTCTCCCCTCCGACAACACGCCCATTTGCGACTGCCAGCCCATTCAATCGTCTCTCCCCCCTCGCCCCCCTTGCAACCCCTCGCCACCCCCCGACCGGCACCTTGCCTCCCCTGATGGAATCTAGCAAAAGGGTCGTGCCAGCCGAGACGCCGACTTGGACTACGGGGATTTGGCGCGGATTGCGCTGGGCCAGCGTGGCTGGATCCTGGTGCAAGTTGCCATCGTCATGTCCCAGCTCGGCTTTTGTTGCGCCTATCTGATCTTCATCAGCCGCAATCTCCAGTCTTTGCTCGGGCCCCTGAGCCAGTACGTCCAGCTTTTTCCTTGATTGCACTTGGTTGACCAAAGGAATCGTCGGAAAGTCTCCCCGCGCGGCCAATAGCAAATCTTTTGATTGGTCTCAACCGCATCCACGATAGGATTACCTACCTGAGCGGACTGAGCATTCCCTTGATAGCCCTTGTGATGATCCGGGACCTCAAGGGTCTCTCCATCTTCAGGTCAGGTCATCGAGCGTCGAATATCAACGTTGGCCCGCTGCTTCAGCCCGTCCACTCATCAACCCTGCCCTTTGGTTTCTCAACCCCACGGCGCCGCGGTTTTAGCCTGCTGGCAGACATGGCCAACGTTCTGGCCTACGCTGTGGTTTTCTTCTTCGATTTCGAGAGCATGCAAAAGGTATTCTACCTCTTTTCGACACCCTTGGCTCATGATCTGGCCCCATCTTGATTCACTTCAATCATTGCCTGACGCTTTTCGTAGCATGGTGAGCATGCCAAGGCCATCAAGTTCAATGGACTCATTTTCTTTGTTGGCGTTTGCGTCTACTGCTTTGAGGTGTGTGCGCCTCGTTCCTGCAGCTATCCTCGCGTCAGCGACACCGCTTTACCTTGATCCCACCACCTCATGTCTTGTGCAACATCCCGTCGAATGGACTTGTGCACCCACATTGCACGATGAATCAGGGCGCCGGCATGGTCTTGAGCTTGGAGAACAGTGTGCCAAAGAACCGTCGCGCCGACTTTCCCTACCTCTTTTCTCTCGCCCTAGCCATCATTACCACGCTCTATGTGACCTTTGGTGCCCTCGGCTATGCGTCATTTGGTAAGCGTGATGGCCACTTCCTTTCCTCCACCCCTTTTGTCTCTTCCTCAGTTTGACCCCATTCCTCGGATCGTGTGGTTAGGCGAGGATACTCAGAGCATCATTACGTTAAACCTTCCCCCTGGATTGTTTCCCGACTTTATCAAAGCCTGTCTCTGCTTTTCCCTCTACTTTACCTATCCAGGTCACCCCGTTTTGCTGTGCTCCCGTCACAACATACTCGATCTGGTCACAACATACTCGATCTGGTACAGCTGGCGTGTACCTCCTCACCTTGGCCCCCTTCTTCGCCTGATGCTACCTCTTTTTTTTAGTCATGTTGTTTCCCGTGAGCGTGATCATTGATCGCATCATTGCTGCTCAAGGTCGCGAACGTCCCACCTTGGCCAAAGGGGTATGTGGCCAGAGCAACACTGTCCCGGAGTATGTTTCATGGGTGGTGTTTTTGCTCACTCACGCAACGATGCCCTTGATTTGCTTTGCGCACCCAAAAACCGGCCATGAGCGCAGAATGTGCTGCGCGCATCCTTGGTATTAGCATCAGTGATTATCGTGTTGGCAATTCCAGATTTCGCATCCATCATGGGGCTTATCGGCTCGACGTGCTGCATGCTACTTGCACTTATCATGCCAGGCCTGCTGCACCTTCGCATCATGGGCAAGGCATTAACCCCAGCCCAACGAGCCTTTGATTATGGCATCGTGCTCATGGGTACATTCTTCCTGGTATCGGGTACTCTGGATGCGCTGGCACGCATCTTATCCGTGCACAGTGAGGGTAATGTTGAGGTATAGCGTTGTGTTTGCTGTGCCGTTTGAGTCTTGACTTGTTGAGAGAATCCTTGTCTTCCCAAAGCTTGCTTGTCTTTTCGATTGTTCTTGCGTCTTCCGACTTTTCTTTCCTGCCCTGCTACCGTTCTCCCTTCTTCCGTTCTTCTCCTGCTTGCCTGTTTAACCCGAATCCTCTCCGTGATTGCGTGAAGCTTACACATCAGTGCCCCGCTCCAGCGCCACAATCGACTAGTCCCGAAGAGATTACTTTACTTTTGTCATGTCAATTGTTTGCTCGAGGTGCCCGACCCTACTTAGCGCGGACCTGTGAGCTTGCAAGCTCAAAGACCAGGTCCACGGGACCATAGCCAGAGTTGGGGCCCCCACCACCTGCCTGAAAGGTGCCTGGACCCCCAAAGACTGAGCTGCTAATGGAACCCGCAGTAGACGGTACCAAGCGCGTTTGGTCGTCGTTGGCAAAGCTGTCGGGTCCGCTGTTGTTGTCCACCAAGTAGTAGGGAACGCCTGGTTGCAACCGGACGGGCGAGACCAAGCCGGCATAAACAAAGCCATTGGCATCGGCAGCAGCGGCCATATTGACGTAAGCCTGCGCCACGAGCGTTCGGCCGTCAGGCCCATAGAGAGAAAGCTGATGACAATCGCCGTTGTCTGGCAACTTGTATCGCCCGAGCGCGACTGCGGTCGCCGCTTCGTCCAGGCTAAAGTTCAAGCCCACAGTCGCTGGGCCCTGTCGCGGGGTCCCTAAGCTCGTGACATTTGCTACCAGATGCCAAGAGGCCGCTGGCGCGTGAAAACGCGAATCGTGCTCTGAATCCTGCCGTCCATATGCATGGGTGCGTGCCATGTCGATGTGACTGGCGTTCGTGGTGGCCAGAAGAGCCCAATCGGAGGTGGAGGGGGCCTCGGGCACCGCTACACTCCCGCTCACGTTGGTCATGAGTCTCAGGTATTCTCCCGAAGTGACGTTGAACCAAAACACCGAATAGGGCGCAGGCGTGGTCACAGGCAGGTGCAGCATGCCGGTGTATGTCCCACAGGGGCTGGGCGGCAGATAGGCTACAACGACACTGCGATCAGGCGTACTCTTTTGATAGGGCTTTTGCGAAAAGCGTGGGGCCAGCACAGACCATTCGGCAACAAGACCATCCGGTGCCAACTGCCACCACGGTAGCTGACTCCAAAAGTCTCGCCAGTGCCCGAGGGCCGTTACACCGGTGGGAAAGTGGAGGGTCTCATTCCATGTCTAAAGCGAGCCGCAGGCGAGGAAGAAAGGAGGAGACGGGCTTGGTGCATGAGATCCAAACACTAGGTATCCGGGAAACATCAGAGCTAGTACGAACCCACCTTGTAAGCTGAACTACCCACGGTACCACAGTTGCCGTTGACATACGTACGATTCCAGCAGCCCCACCAGAGTCCTTGTCCGCCATATGTGTAGCCAAAGGAGCCGCCGATGACGGCTTGCCAGGCCGTCTGGCGCGTCATCTCGGACGTCACGGGCTGGTAGGGGGGAACAAGCAGCTCATAGTTGGCTTCGTCCTCGATGATGGCCCGGGCCGGGGTGGCATTGTATTGGGCCAGCCAGTGGTCTACCGAGGCCAGGCTGCCATGACCCAGCTGCAAGGTGACAAAAGAATACCAAGGCTGGTCATGGTAGGCAATGGGATTGGTGGCGCAATTATGCATCGAGTTAGGCCGGCGGTATGGGTCCATGCTCCAGATGGTGGCTGCGATGGTGGCCCAGCAGTCAGGACAGGCCGTGCTGGTGCAGTACTCTTGACAAGTGAGCCAAACGGTGTTGAACGCAGCATAACGTGCAAAAAAATACTTGGACAGACGCATGTGATCTGCCAGCGTTGCATTGGTGGGCATGCTAGGGCAGAGCAGTATGATTGCGGGTGAGCAAAAGTTGTCTGTGCAACGACGAACAAGAATAGGCCAAAGGCTGCGCTTGCAGACGCAGCCACAGCGAGCTTGCAACAGGCAAGGTATCACGTATGCCTCATCTACCTGCGACCGATGCCCACGGCTAGGGCAGCCAACAAGCCTGCCTGGTTGACCAAGGCTACGCGATCGTCAATGTCCTGCCAAAAGGCAGGGTTCGGCAAGCTGAAAAACGTGTTGTTGATCCAAGCAGGGCCTCCGTGGTTGATCGGGGCGTTGCCACCTGGGAATGCAACCGTTTGGGCACGATTGATGTGAGCCTGACATTCTCGCACCCAGAGGGAGGTCCAAGTGCTTGAGGTGTGCCAATGGGTAACACTGCCGTCGGAAGCCGAGCCGGCGCAATCCACACCTTCGTCGTTGTTGGCAAAGGACTCGGCCTTCCACACGGTATAGCCTTGGGCTACACGACGCGTAAGGATCTCTGCAATGCAGTTGGGATGCAAAGTGGCAGGTGAGTTGGGTGCGAGCATCGATGACCTGGCCTTATGAAAAAAATGCAGTGGACATGTGTGCATCAAGCAAGGGCTGGTAGTGAGCACAAACCTTGGAACATGCTGGTCGAGTCGTTGTAGAATGGGTCGTTGTTATCCCGGGTATGTTCTGCTAGACTAAAACCAGACCAATGTGTGTCCCCGAGCCAGAAGAATGGCTCGCCACGGGCGTTGACGAGATACCGGCGGGCGGTGTCGGCCTGCAGGTACGATGGGCAGCCACACAGAGCAAGATCAACGTGATGCAAGCGTAGCGTAAGTCGGAGTGGCATGGAGGGGGAAGCCAAACGGGCCAGACCAGCAAAAAGGGTGGGGCAGAACTCGGACGCGCGACGAAAGCGCCAGTTTGATTGTGTAAGCCCGAGTCGTGAAAATTGCTGCATGTTGAGATCCAGGTCCAATTGCCGACGATGGGAGGTGCAAAGCGGGCGCGCCACGTGTGCCCGCCATCCCAAAATGCTGGAAGGCGCATGGGCTGTGCGTATAAATCAGGGACTTGAGCGGCGCTGGCTGGATCCAATTGTACCGGGACAAAAGTCACGTTAACCTCGACATCCTTGTAGGGATTGCCGTACCCTCTGCAGTGTGTCGAGGTGCATGCAGCCAAGCAATAGGAGGTGGGCGTCTTCTGGTCAATGTTCGATCAACCACCAGTCAGAAAGGCCAGGCCACGGACGAGCAAGGGCGTAGCGATGCATGCTGATCGCCCATGATCTCTGACGTGCAAAGCACCTACCCTATGGCATTGAGGACAACCTCATAGGGCAGCCACTGCTTGGCCTCGGAATCAGCGGCAAAGCTGGTCCCGCATGCTAGCCCCAGCAAGCAGACCCAGCCAAGCAAACCCACCATGCCTGCCGCAATCAGCTGCAGTCCACCACCTCACCAGCTCCCTCTGCTCCCTCTGCTCCCACAGCGAGCTCCCAGCTCGATCACAGCTCGCAAAGACACACACACACACCACACACACACACAACAAAAACATCAACAAGAGGCCAGGAGATACTGTGTCAATATTCACGCTTTCGTCTGTTCAGGCAGATGTCAGATGTTATCATCACTGTATTCGTGGAGGCTAAAACTTTCGAGTTGTTACCAAGTGTGATTGTGCCTGCTGCTGTCTCTGTGCTATTTCCTTTGTTATCAACAGTCTTTGTGTGTGTGAGAGAGTGCGGTGAGTTGAGTGACGGCGAAGGGCAGCGCGTTGAATTTGGATGGCACAGTGGCAGTGGCAGCCGACCACTGACGTGCACTATCAAATGCATTGGAAACAGACAGGCATTGGCTTGTAGCCCGGGTGTGTGGAGGTGGGGGGCACACTGGGATGGTCGGGACAAGCAAAGAGAACCGTGTTTGCAAGTGACGTGGAGTCATTCCCGTCGGTTTACTGGCACTTGGGATGCTTTTGCTCGCTCACTGGCTCATCCTGGTCAACCTCTGGATAGACACTGTCAACAACAACGACTGGTGGTGTTGATCAAGGCCCTTTTGGACCAACTCGGCGCCCGGCTTCGGCTTCGCGCCTTTGCTTGCTTATTGCTCTCCCCGTCGCCATGGCTTCATTGGACATCGTCACCAAAAAGCCTGTCTCGGGCGAGACCACCGTGACTGTTCACCCCCTGGTGCTGCTCTCCGTCGTGGACCACTACAACCGTACCAGCAAGGGCACAAAGCATCGCTCCGTCGGTGTCCTCCTCGGCTCCTGGAAGAGCCCCACGAACCTGGACATTGCCAACAGCTTTGCTCGTGCGTTCTTCGCTTCGCAACGAGGGCTCCTGCTTCCAAATGGCCTCACCCACCCCCACCCAGCCCATGCCATAGCCCACTGCCTGTACCCACTGCGCCCGCTCACCTCCTTACTCTGTGCCACCGTGCCACGTTTGCAGTGCCTTTTGAGGAAGACCTCAAGTCGCCTGATGTCTGGTACATGGACCATGACTATCTTCGCAACATGTTTGGCATGTTCCGCCGCGTCAATGGTGAGCCTTGAATTCTCTCCTGCGCTCTCTCACTCCGCGCGCCTTTGCTTCCTCTATGGGCACTTCTTCCTCTCGCGCCCTGCTGGCTCGCTTGTTTGTATCCTCTTCTTCCCTTCCTATTTTGCTTTTGCTTCTTCTGGCGAGGCGCCATTGTGGAGCGAAGCAACATGAATCGCCCCATGCATCTGTCTGCAATATCGCTCTGGTGCCATGGGTGGCCTCGCCTCACCCTCATGCCGTCACTCTCCGCCCCTTACAGCCAAGGAGCGCGTGGTGGGCTGGTATCACACGGGACCCAAGCTGCGGGCCAATGACATTCAGATTAGCGAAATGCTGCAAAAATTTGTAGAACACCCGGTATGCCCACGCACCCAATTTCATTCCACTGCTGCCACCTCGCGCTTGCTTGGTGTGTAGTTTCCTCGTTTCCTCATGCTTCCACACACACACACACACACACACACCTAGATTCTTTGCGTTATCGACGTGCGTCCTGAGGTGTCGGGCCTCCCCATCAAGGCCTACGTTGCTGTTGAGGAAATTCACGACGTGAGTCCCGTTCGCATCTCAAACCCAGCGCCTGTGCCCTCATGTGTTGACACCATTCCTCACCTCCTCGTCTTGCGGGCCTGCTTGGCTGTTTCTATGACACCGCATAGGATGGCACACCCACCACAAAGGGCTTTGAACACGTTGGCTCGGAAGTGGGAGCAGAAGAGGTGGAGGAAGTTGGCGTTGAGCACCTCCTGCGCGACATTACAGACCTTGGCTTTTCAGGCTCGCTTTCACACCGCCTGCAGCAACAGCTCGACTCGCTCAAGGTCAGCTGCTTTATGCACGGCCCCACTGTCGGACCAAGTCCTAAGTCCGCTCGTCCTAGTGCCCTAGTGCCTGCCCTCACCCGCCGTCACATTAATGCCATGATTCCATTTTCCCACCACCCAGGGGCTCTCGGGTCACCTTCAACAGGTGCACGAGTATCTCCAGATGGTGGCGGAGCAAAAACTCCCCATCAACCACAACATCATGTACTTGATTCAGGAAATCTTCAACAATCTACCCAACGTTTCCGGCAAGGACCTGGCGACTTCAGTCTCCAACACGACGAGTGACCAAGTGCGTTGTTTATCCGACACACATAGGATGACCTGAACCACTCCTGTGGCGTGGCGGGCGTGGCATCTTCAGACGATACGCCGCGCCATTGACCTACCCATGCCGATCCCTCCCCGTTCCCTCCCTTGGATCCCTTGCTTTTCCTGGCTCGTGTATAAGCCCTTCTCTCATCCGCAGCTGCCCTCTCTTTTTGATGCACAGATGCTGGTGGTGTATCTGGCCTCGATGATTCGGGCAACAATTGCCTTGCACAACCTCATCAACAACAAGGTTGGTCCTGTCATCCAACTCTGTGAACAGACGAGTGGAGCGGCATGACAGACTCAAATGTCCCTGATCGTGCCCCTTTGCAACAGCTGGAAAACTTGGAGCACGAGAAGGAAGGTCCGACTGGCACCAAGAAGAAGCCAGCAGCTGAGGAGAGCTCAGAGGACAACAAGGAGAGTGGCAAAGACAAGGCAAAGGAAAAGGCTGGCAAGAAGCCGGCGCAATAGTCAACTCCATGCGCCTCTTCATAACTGTGCATTTTCCATCTTTTTGCGTGTTCCTTGTGGTCTGAATTTAGTCCATTCAAGCCCCGCCCGCCAGATCGCCGACACGAAACTGACATGCTACCAGAACTTTCATGTCATGATAAATATTCAAGGACGCAATCAAACCCCTTGCTCTAACAGGAGGGGCCCTGTGGAATGTGAGCGCGCAGCTCCCGCTTCATTTGACGGAAGAGATCACGGTTGCGATCCAGGTCGGCCTGTTTGCTGGCATGGAAGGCACCTGGACGCTTCCAGCCTGCATGCACCACAAACGCCTGGTACAAGACGACGAAGCGGTAGTTTAACATGTGCATATGGCACACCTGTGAAATACGATTGAACCCATCTACCATGCACCGAGAACATGAGGTCGCCCCTTGAATTGGACTAGACCTGATGAACGAGATCCTTCGGACAAAGACCGCAGCAATGGGCAACCAGACATACATTGACGAAAGCGCACGTCGTAGCGCGGACATGAACGCTCTCGGGCAATATAGAAGGGCTCCCAGGGATCATGCCATGACACTACGGGTGCCCACCCCAGGGGCAGGTGTTGAGAGACGACATCAAAAACCATTCACATGTCGAGGGCTGAAGCCGCGAGCAAGCGCGCAAAGGAAACTACCTTCATATTCTAGCTCCGTGATTTGCATTGGCCCTTGCTGCCACTTTTCGTAGTTTGTGTGACGCTGACACTTCCAGCAGACCTCTTGATAAAAAGGCTGCAACGGAGACCACAAGCCAAGCCAGGAATGAATGCACGACCGTACGCTCGTTGCACAAGCATTGACCTCAGAACCTGTCTTGACGGTCCACATCTCGCCCTTTCTGACAGGCGAGAAAGTGCGTTCACACTCATACCCGAGCCGTCCCGGCCTCCAGCATCTGCAATAGTTCGTCGCGGTGGGCTGGCATGGTCGTGGCTGTGCTCGTATCCAATTCAAAGGCTATCGAATAACATGTCAAAAAAACATTGTGACGGCGTGTGTGTCCAAAGCGACAGCAGATGACATGGCACCCGGCAACACGCGACAGCTTGCCAGCTGCGGTGCAACTCACAGCCCTTAAAATCTAGGGTGACTTGAAAGCCTGGGCTTACCGGGTACCACAAAGGCGAGGCGGGTGTAGCTTCCATGGTGCGCTGCTACGGCTTGCTCCACGGCCTTAGCGATGTTGTGGCTGGGTACAATGTCCACGTCCAAAACCATTGTGAAAAGCGTTGTTGCTACGTGGAGCCATGAACGGCAAGCAGGTGCGTGAGCCTGATCACTTGGGTTGCAGCAAGGATGCGTGCACTGTGCTGTAACGCGGACCAAGCTGTCAGACCTTGGTCGCGGGCTAGGTTGCGCAGCAGATTGTTCGGGTAGGGAACCTGAGTCGTCTGCAGCGTGAGCTCGTAGTTGGCACCAGCCTGGGTCCACATGCGCAAGCTGGATACGAGGGAGTCGACGGTGCATGGCAGCAAAGCTAATTGGCGTGCCAAGTCCATGGCACTGACTTCCGCCTGATCTGGGCTCAAGTCTAGGAGCTGCTGATGGGTATCACGATGCATGGTGTAGCGGGCAGCCACGCGTGTACCAATGTCGGGATGACAAGAGGCAAGCTTGGCCCACACCACGGCTAGAGCCTCTTTGGCCACGGGGGCGGCTGAAAAGATGGCGATGGTCACTGGACCTGTCTCGTGCAAGGTGCAAGTGTCTTGTCAGTGCAAAGGTGTAAAAGCGACCAAGGCGCGTACCACTTGAGCACGCGAGGGAAAGCAAGAATAAAAGAGCTGACCGTCAAAGGCTGACAGTGTATCCAGAAGGTGGGGGACTTGGTCCAAAGACGATTGTGTGCATAGAGTCAGCTGGCCAGTGCTGACAGCTGTGGGCGTGGCCCAGCGAAGAGAAAGGTAATCGTCATCGTCTTGTTCAGCAGCAAAGTCGGGCAGATGTGCAACGTGCTGGGCCAGATCGGCTGAGCAACGCGGATTCGCACCACAGAACGTGGCCAGGGCTGTTTCGAGCGAGCTGAGCGCAAGGACGGGTGGGTTTTCGACCAATGCTGGCAAAGCTTGCTGGTGAAGCCACAAAGCTCCGCCCAGCAGCACCAGCAGCACCAGCATGAGCCGCACCACCGATGATGCCCGCATACCGGCGCTATTTCGTCGATTTTCGTTTTAATCCTCAAAATGAGAGTGGAAAGGGGTTCGCATGCATGCAAGCAATTTGAGTTTGGGGGTCAATTATGGTCTAAAGGGAAGAGCTTTCAGCAGGGGCGTGCAAGCCCGTTGTCGCAGACAGCGGGCTCGCCGAGCGCGGCTTGAGGGGCGATGAACATAACGCATCAAGCTGTCGTGCTGTTACCCCGAGATTGGTCCTCTGCTTCTTCATCTTCTGTCTCGCCTGTTGAGGACGGGGTGGGTTCTGGAACACGAGCTCGATAATAATGCTGCTCCTCGAGCTGGATGCGTTGAAACTCGCGGGTACAGACGTGCTTGTGCCGCGACCAATCGCGCTTTTGACACAGACGCTGGCAGTCTAGCCGGGAAACGATGAGATGACTTGAAGAAATCGACAGATTTCAGCAAACGGATTCTCGTTTGCATTTCTCGGCCAAGGCGACCCGCGCTGACTTACAAGCGACGCTGCGACAACCGCTGCACAGATGTGCCTGGGGTTGACCACATACAAAGCATGTGTCCATGGGAAGATTGCGATGCGGCTGAAAGTCTGCCAAAGCCGTTGCACTTGCTTCCTGCCATGCCTCTGCACGGCGCCCGATCATGGATTGCGTGTGAGCGAAGCTGACAAGCACAACGCAGGGAGTGGTGCGCAACGACGGACCAAAAAGCTGTTGGCGGAACAACTGCAGATGTAAGGGCATGGCTTCAAGTGCCAAAGGCACCGAAACGCGCTCCTGCCAACGCCTGCAGAAAAAAACGTGAGCCACAGCGTCTGTGCACACTCGTTGGAGAGCAGAGCGCGCCCTCGGGACAACGCGGTTCACGCTCAGCCAACCTAGCACGTTCTTCCAGCAAAAGGCCCAGCTGCTCAATTTCCACAAAATCTGCCTACATGACGCGAAGATGAAGCGTTTGGCATACGGAAAGGTCAGCATTCACAGGCCAAGCACAATAACACACATGAGTCTGGCCGGCACATCCAGCATCTTCTCGCCACCTCGCCTTTACACGTACGCGCGGACATGCGCTTCTTTCATTCACAGAGCGCACATGAGGCATGCCAGGATAAAACGGACCAACCTCGCGATCTGTTTTGGTGGCGAAGACCACTTTGATAACGAGGCGCTGAACAGGAATGACGACCACAACGAGTTGACCACAGGTGTAGTTGTCTTCAAACAAGGGCAAGTCTCCACGCGCTGCCAACAGGCGATGCCGCACCACCCCATTTCCAGCAGCGGCAGTGAGTGTCAAAGCACTTTTTTTCTTTCAAACAGTACATGTAGAAAAAAGTTTTGCTTACATGCGTATATCTGCCAGGTGGTATCGTCGGATGCCACGCGCGGTAAGCGGCGAAATGTATACAACTGTGATGCTGTAACCTCGTGATCAGAGTCTTTACAGAGAAAGCAAACCAATGAACCGGGTCAGTCCAGGTCAGCTCTGCCAGCTCGGGCGCGCAAGCGAAGCGATGTGCATGATGGTTGGCTCTCTGAGCAGTTGTGTGTGTGTGTGTGCATCACGACACCCACCAATAAAAGGCAGCGCGTTCTCCGATAGGTAGCGCCACGCACGCTGTGCGTACGTGGTTGCTCCCTTGCTGTTCTCAAAGAGATACCAATGGGCACTGCAAATGGTACAATTGACGTTGATGAGGGCGTGGATGTTTTCAGCACGTCCCGAACAGCTAGAGACAAACCTTAGATAGGCCAGTGTGTGGTGGTCGTCCAGAAAATCGCCCAGTGTCTGACTCCATTCCAGAACTAGCCCACAGAAGGGGCGGCTTGTGTCCACCAATGCAGTCGGCTCTTCTTCGTGTGGCGTATCCCTGGCAGACGCGGGCTCGGGTTTGGGCACTGCAAACATGTTTTTGGCCCCGAGGCGCAGCAGAGGATTGTGCAGCTGCAGCGCGGCAAGTGAGTGAGGTTGGCAGTCGTGTAGCGCACAACATCAAACGAGAACCCAGCGTCTACTGACCGTGAAACTCGAGGGCATGTCTCCCGGGCGCAAGAGCGTGTTGCCAATGTCGCTGGCAGCGAGTTGTACTTGACCATCGGGGATGATTCCCATGTCGAGCGCATCGCCCAACTGCAACAGAATGGCCTTGTGCTGTGTCGACCTCGGAACCTCGGGTGCTGTGGGGTTTTGCTCCACCGGGGCGGCCGAGACAGCATCACTAGCCTGCACACGTTCCACATGATGCTGCAATACATTCAGAAGGGCTTCGTCCAGTGCCCAGAACCGTGCAGCGGTAGATTCCACGACAAACCCAGCGCCATCGGCGCGAGCGCCCCCGTGCTCGAGTTCGTCGGCACTTAATCGGGGTCGTGTGTCTGGTACAGCAGGCAAGGGCTTCGGACGCCCCTCGAGATCAACGTGCACGTCGGCTGCTGCGCGCAGTCGATCCTCGAGCTCTGCCTCGCGCAACAGGTCGGCCAAATCCGGTGTCGAGCGCCCACTGCTTGTCTCGAGCGCGGCACGTTGATGCTCGGATTCGGCACTCGGTGCATGCTCAATCGATGATGGTTGGATCAGTCCAGAGGACTGCATGCTAGCTGCTACCGCCGACGCGAGCGCACACTCCTCCTGTAACTCCTCCCATGTCGGCGTGCCAGCCCGGGACCTCGGCGACGACGGCGACTGCGGCGGCACCATCTTGTTGTCTCTCTCTGATCCACAAAAAGTATGACAATTTTTCTTTCTTTTTTCTTTCTTTTTGGTTGAATTTCGTCGTAATTTTTTTTTTTTTTAATGGGGTGTGTCGCGCGTGGATTCATACACTACACAGGTTCTTGATACACCACAGGACCAGGATGGAAGATCCGGGCAGCTGTCGTCAGTGCTTGCAGCGTCTCGGCACTTCGGGGAACATGTTTCATCCTCAATCTTATCATGATAAGCGCAGACGGTTTGCAACGACGAGAAGCGGGCAGTGTCCACTCCATTATCGTAGCAAATAAATTGTTGGGTTTGTGTACAGCGCACTGCCATGCGCAGACGCCTCGCCTCACCTCCTTCCTAAGGGTAACCCCTCCTAACCCTCGCTTTTGCCCCCAACACGTTCTCCTTGGTCTCACAGTCGCACACCAAAGCAAACCAAAACGCGGGACGCACCACACCGCGCCAGCCGTCTATGACACATTCATAGCCCTCCATTGTTGGCCTTATCCAGTCAAGCACTGCATCCACTTGGCTCTGAGTTTGAACATCTGAGTTTGAACATCTTCTTCAATTCCATTAACATGCGGTTCTCGGTAGAGTTCTCTGGCGTCGTCTTAAACCACGATTGGCGCAAAATATTATCAACAAGCTTGATCATGCAATCTTGTTTCTAGTAAAAACGGGCGCGCCACGCCCAGTCGCCTTGATTGCGGTACCAGGCCACCTTGCCGTCGTTGAAACTGGCACTCAGCACATCCAAATTGCCAGTGGCCCGCAAATCTGCCACAGCGAGGGTGAAGACTCGGTCCCCTGCGTCGGAAATCGAGATTGCCTGAGAAAAAGCGCCGACATTTGTTTGCCGATACCACACAATGGTATCGTTGGTCGAACTTGTTGCGAGCAAATCAAGCCGCCCGTCCTTGTCCATATCAGCGACCTGAATGTTGGTGGGCTGCACAAGCACGTCTGAGATGAGAAGCGGCTCGGAAAATCGCCCACCACCGAGACCACGGTACCACAAAATTGTCCCGTTTGAGTAGCTGGCACACAGCACATCCACAGACCCATCGGCATCCAGGTCAACAGCCACGGCCGAGGCAACGGCGCCGCAAGAATTGGAGATCAACTGCGGTGGAGCAAATGTGCCATTGCCGAGATTTCGAAACCAAACCAAGGCCGTTCCGTCGAAATCTCCCGTCAACAGGTCCACGTGCTCATCTTCATCCAAATCTGCTGCCCAGAGCGCCGCACACGAACCGGAGCCGGAAAGCATGCGTGGCGCATCGAACGAGCCAGCCTGCCCCTTGCTCAGAAAAACGTTAAGGACTCGAGTCCTATAAGTGGCTTGAATAATGTCCAGGTGACCATCGCCATTCAGGTCAGCCGTTGCCAAATGAATGCCTCCGGCAGTCGAAGCTATCACGGTTCCAGCAGCGAGGGTGCCGTTGCCCTGATTGCGGAACCACAGCACAGTGTTGTTAGCAATGCCGGTGCCAAGTACATCCAGGTGTCCATCAGCATCCAGGTCTGACACGTGAAGGGTCAGGACTGGGGTGCTGGGGTCATTCATGGGCACCGGCGCAGCAAAGGTTTCATCTCCCAAGTTGCGGCGCCAATAAGCGGTGCGTGATTCGAGCACAACATACAAAACGTCTGGAAAGCCATCTTCATCCAAATCACCCGTCGCGACCCAGCGCACGCCCCCATCGAACCTTCCCAGGATGTTCTGTTCGGGTTTCTGCCACGTGACGCTTGGGTGCTCGTCAAAAAAGGCGCGCAGGTTACTCAGCTCAGCCATAATGTCCACGCCATTGAGCAGCACGCGCCCCGTGCTATTAATGTGGAGTGTTCCATCCTGGGCCACGAAAATATCCGCAGCAGTCGAATCTTGGTCCTCTCCGCCAGCAGACAGGGCAAGGAGCGCCACGCCCAACAGCAGCTGACCCCCAGGCGCCCGACGCATCCACCACATGATGTCGCAGGTAGGTACGCCTTGCCGCGCACCCAACCGCTGCTATGTATCGGTATGAGCCTCGCAGTCCTGCTATTCGTGGTCTCTCCTTCCGTGAGGCAGCCACAGCGGGGTGAGCAGTTCTATTCGATGTCGTCGCTGGGTGCTGGTGCTGGTCGCGACGGCGGCGACGACAACAATGGCAAAGCTGTTGGGTGATATCTCGACAGAAACAACAACATCTCCGACAACTTTAAGTTTTCATTCAACGTTATGAACCGCTTAATATTACGAAATTTACTACAAGAACTCTACAATCTACCGCAACAACCTATCTTCATTATTTTTCAACGTGAAGGTGTGTGTGTGTGTGTGTCAGCGATGCTTCATGGGCGCCGTGGTCACCAGAGCACATTGCAAAGGTGCCAGGAGGATGGTGCAGGGGAACGTGTTGACGAGTTTGCGCGTGTGTGGGCTCAGTGATGTTTTGATGGCTACCCATGTGTGGCTACTTAGATTGCTAGACGGATCAAGATGGCTGCCAAAGTTGCCAAGACGAGCGAGGGCCAGACAGCGAGCGGGGTGACCATTGGTCAGCTCGGTACCGTGGTGCAGCTGGCGCCGCCCGATCAGCGCGTGTTTGACAAGCGAGCTGTGCCAGCTATTGTGCGCTGCTCGGCCTCAGACAACTCAGATCGCTCCGTCACGGCCGCCACGGCCTGCAGCTGGCTTGCTGATCATCAAGATGCCATCGAAGCGCTTCTCAAGTACGAACCACTGGCTGATCTGTCCCCACCAACCGCACTCTCTTTCTGGTTATCGTGTTTGGTCCCACCCGCGCGGCCATGCCACTGGGTCTGATGTCATCGTGCTGTTGGCAGGGAGCACGGAGCAGTGCTGTTTCGTGATTTTCCGCTCAAGACGGCCGAAGATTTTGATGCCTTTGTCAAGAGCTTCAAGGGGTGAGTCGGTGCTTGGCTCAGTCAAGGGTTTCGTGCGGTTGCTGGTGCGGTTGTGACCGTCCTCACCCATCACTTCCTCGTCGATTCCCGATGCAGGTACGAGGACTTGCCGTACGAAGAGTCACTCTCCTTTGCCGTTCGCGTCGACGTTACTGGACGTGTGTGCACGACCAATGAAGGAAAGAAGGGTGGTCAGGTAAGACAGAATGCCCAATCCTCCTTGCACGTCAGGCTGACATGGATCGCCTTGGTCTAGCGATACGTGCTCACGATCAGCCCTCCAGGTCTTCCACCACGAGCAGGCCCAGACGCCACACTGGCCTTCCAAACTGTTCTTCTTCTGCGAACGGCCCGCCACCCGCGGCGGCGGCACGGCCATTTGTCCTTCAGACGAGGTTGATTTCGGCGCTGTCGTTGATATGTCCATGATCGGACAACTCTTTTAACATCACTGACCAGACTAAACGCACTGTGTCTAGGTTCTGCGCCGACTCGAAGCCAAGCACCCGCAATTTGTGGCTGATCTCGAAGCCAAGGGCGTGAAATACACAGCTTTCATGGCAGCCGTCGCCGACCCAACCAAGGTGAGATGAGCCGAGTTTCCCCCTGTCATCACCCTTCCACCCACCCTTTCCTTTTGCCCTCCTCCATCCATCCCTGATCCCACGTCCACCTGGATATCGCGGTATTGCTGCGGCGCATTGCAGGGTGCCGGTCGAAGCTGGAAGTCCTTTTTTGGTTGCGAGAGCAAGGACGCCGTGGTTCGTTACTTTGCACACGATCATCATCCTTTCCTGCCTCTTTTGATGCAGATACAGGGCCTCGCTCCGAGTTCTCATCATCCTTCCTGCCCTTACAGGAGAAGCGGATGCAAGAGTTGGGCTATTCTTGGGAGTGGCAAGAGAATGAAGTCCTCAAGACGACCTCACCTAAGCTCTCTGCCGTCCGGATCGCCCCTGGAACGGACCGCAAGGTGAGACACTCCACGTTCTTCGGATATTGGATGTGACTTTTTTTGACGGTGCTGTTACCAATCTATATTTTGTCGGGCACGCCAAGTTTCCTGATGCTCGTGCTTTGGGCAGGTCTTTTTCAATCAACTGGTAGCGCAGATTGCCAACGCCACCGAGTTTAGCGCCAACTCTGGTAGCAGCAGCGATGCCGATGTCCTCAAGATGCTGTCCAAGTATATGACATTCGGTGACGACACACCCATGGACGTTGAGGTGCGCTTCACGAGTTCAAGCGGCGTGTCTTGAACCTCCGCACGCCTCACATTTTGGTTCGTTTTGCCTCAACACCGTACCAGGCTTTGCTGTTTGCCAAGAGGTGCTGTGACGATACGGCCGTGGAGCTCAATTGGCAGGCCCAAGATGTGGCTCTGCTGGACAACTATCTCGTGATGCATGCACGCCGTGACTTTGATGGGCCGCGCCGTGTGCTTGCTTCTCTTGTGCGATGAGTTCGCGATGTTGTTCGGGGTTGTCAATTTCGACATGGGTCAAATCAATTTTCTCTCACTCTTTTCTCGAGTGGGCACAGCCCAGAAGGCGCCAATGAGAGCCCCATGGCCGATGACGTGAGGTTTCACTTTCTTAGTCTCGATCTTGCTGCAGCAGTTCGTCCAGCTGCTCACCCAGTTCTTCATCCATATTTGGGGCTGGTCCTCCGTCGAGTTGACTCGCATCAGCAATGGCCGAGGTAAGCGTGGGCGCCCGGGGATCCAAGTCCATGCCCCAAGCAGTCATCAACTGTGCCAGATCTGGATGGCCCAGCTGACAAGCAGTCAAACAACCAGTCGCATACGCGTCAAAACGGCAGAAGCAACGTTAGAGAGCTCTTCAGATGGTCCAACACGGCGAGAGCGTCGAACGAGCTCGTGGCTACAGCATGATCATGATCGTACCCGTTCGTGAACCTTGCCCAGCATGAAATAGACCACGCTTTCTTTGGGTGCATCAACCAAAAGCTTCTCCAGCTCGGTCAACGCCTCCGGGTATCGATTCAGGCTGATGAGCATGCTGGCACGAGTGTAGCGTACCAATGGGTTTTCGGGTGCCATTTCATAAGCCTACCCCAGGCAGCGGAGTGCACGTGTGTCAAGACGAATACGATGGAGGAACAAGCAAAGCAAATCCAAGGGCATTCACAAGCCTCGTACCTTGTCGAGCACACGCAAAGCCAGCACAAAGCGTCCACGCATGCCCAACACCTTGCCAAGATGACAACGCAAAATTGGGCTAATTGTGGTTCACCCCCATTTGAGATCGTGCAAGTCGTACGCGACAGAAAAAGCAGCAGTATGAGTGAGAAGAATGTTGATTGATGCACGGGAGAGCACAGGCTTGTAGGTTGCAAACCTGGAAGGATTGATGCGAGTTGCCAAGATGAGTTGCTTCTCAGCCTCGACCAAGCGCTCTTGTCGGGCTGCCAGCATGCCCAAGCCAAACCAGGCGTTGTATAGGCGGCGGTTTTGTGCCAGGGCCTGGCGAAAGCACGCTTGGGCCTGATGCGCGCAAGCACGCCAACCAACATCATGTGAGGTAAAAGTGTGAGAAAAACATGACACCACCATTTGAGGAGACAAGAACATAGTCCAGCCACAGTCGGCACGAGCAGACGAGGCCAGCTTGTCAGGCTTACCCGCTCGTGATCGTTGTTGGCGGAGAACTCATGGCCCAATAAAGTATAGGCGTAGGCAAACGTAGGGTCGAGTTGCACAGCGCGCTGAAAGTACTGGCAAGCACGATCAGCCTCCTTTTGAAGACTGAAACAGTTGCCAGCGACACACCAGGAGACGGCATGTTTCGGGTCAATGGTCATGACCTCATTGGCCAGATAGGCCAGGTCTGTAATCTTGGCCATGTGCCACAACACGGTACTGTAGTACTACAGCGGCATCACAGGAAAAGCGGGGATTAGGCGGGCAGAGCAGCAACACACAAACTGACACACAAAATGGGCAGAGCGGTACAGAGGCAGAAGAGCAGGAACATGAACACACCTCGAGGCCACTCAATCGATGCTTCTCAAAGCGCCGAGCGCTGCGAAAGGCCTGTTCCGCCTATGTATGAACCAAAGTCATGTTGAATGGCCGGGATAGCAAGTCTCACATGTGTGGTGGCAGTCTTCGCGTCCCTTGTCTCTTCACTTGGAACGATCGATATGCGCGCACACACATGAAAGTACATACCGCGTCGTAGTCGGCTAGCTCCATGTACGCGCGGCCAAGCAGAACTTGTACAAAGCCCGAGTTTTGATGCTTGACCGGTAGCGTTTCGATGGCATCAATGGCGGAGTGGCAGTTGTAATGCCCCATGGCCGCCACGGCACGGTACACCGGCAGCAAAATTTGCACCGCAAGGGCATGACTGGAGGTCAGGTCCACGGGTCGCGGCTGGTGATCTTGTGCCTGCTGTTTCTCTGAAGCATGCTCAGGTTCCGGATCAGGGGTCCCTGGGTCAGATGAGCCTTCCTCTCGGGCCTGACGGGTTATGGGATGCACGGCCGTTGGGGTGCTGGCATGGCTTCCTGGGGCGGTCCAGCGCTCATTGGGGTCGGCTGATTCAGGTGTCGTGAAGTCAGCCTGGGCCAAACCATCGCTCGTGTCCAAGTCATCTGGGGTCTTGGCATCGGCCTGGGGCGTTTGGAAAGACAATTTGGAGGCCCGTGGCTTGAATTTGCGGCGGGCTACTACTCGGAACATTACAATGCAACAAAGGTCAGCAAATCTCGTCGTTGATGTCACCCACCAGTACCCACGGTCGTTTTAAGGTACGGCCTGGACAATGGAAATCACAGTCAGTAGTGGTGGCAATATTGAAAGGCGTCACTACAGCTTACCTCCCTGCTTTTCCGGGAAAGCAGGACGAGCAGGATGAGCGGGCTGAACGTCGGGTGTTTGCTCTACGCCCCCCTCCTCAACCGGAGAGTCTGGTGCCGTGAGAAGGTGCCCGACCTCGCCATGGGCCACATTATGTGAACGCTTGGCGCCTGCTTCTTTTCGCGCAATACGTTGGCTGCGACGAGGAGGCTGGGCCTCCACTGCATAGGATTCGGGGGTTAGGGATCGAAATGGACATGCTTTCTCACAGGCGACAGGGCGAAGAGAGAATTGCGTAGATATCACACCTGGGGTTTGCTGCTCGTTTGAAAGAGCAGCGGGCGGAGTCTCGAAGTTGGGTCCCGGTGGTATTGACGACACGAGTGGCGATGCTGCAGCCGTGGATGCTGATGAAGCTCTCAGGCGGGATGGCTCAGGCTTGGCTTTGGCAGCAGAGGCCAAGGTTGACGGCTGAGATTCCGCAGGCGAATCAAAAGAGAGGGTCTGGCGCACATGGGCCGTGCGCGTGCGACCCCGACGACTACGGGGTGACATGGCGCTCATGGAGGGGGTCACGCGGCCAAGCGACGAGACCGGGTCCACTTGTGTTCGCCCAGCCACAAAGGCGCTACAGGGTGCCCGTTTGTTGTGAGACACCAGGGCTCATACAGAAAATAACGCGGAAAGAAGAAGGCGACTCCTCACCTAGCCGGGGTAGCGTTTGCAGTTTGTGGCAGAGATTGCATGCCTGACAAGTCCAATTCTTGCAGGGGCGGGGAAGCCGCGCTCTCATCCAGCATTTTTGGTGTCCCTGCTCAAGCATACCAAGCACCAGCAGGGTGAGGAGTCAATCCTGCCTCTTGATGGTGAGTTCGGCTCACGCACCGCTCGTGACAGCGGTGGCGACGGGCAAGGTGGCGGTATTGTGCCGCGGCGTAACTGAGGGCACGGCCGTTGATGATGTCATTGGCCTACAGGACCCGACAAAGGTTGGGTGATGAGGCTTGGCTGGTCGCAGCAGCAGCAGCAGCACCTCAGTGGTGCTGAGGAGACCAAGGAAGAGACCAGGGGCGCACCGCATGTGAGGTTGGCCATTGGCCAATGCAAGTCGCGTTGCCAGGGTCTGGTCTTGAAAGCCTTGCTGAACATCAACAGGTTTGTCGTCTGGGCCGATTGAGGTGCACGCCTGGTCAAATAAACTTTCGGATCGGGACACATCTTTCCAATGGAGGACGCAAGACATGGCGCAGCAGCTCGAGCTTACCCAGCTGGCAGATGGCATCGAAGCTGGTGAAGAGGTAGCCGTTTTGTTCCCAACTCTTGCTGCGGCCATCGCAACAAGTCGGGTGCCACAAAACGATTAGCAAAGTGCGCAAAAGATGATGCACATGTCAAGGTTGTCCGTTGCCGAGAATGTGGACGAACCGCAGAAGGCGCGTGGCTTCGCGTTTGCGGTTGGCTTGCAGAAGCAGCGAACCATGCAACCATTCAGCTGCGCCGTTGTGGCCAGTGAAGCGAGATAGATTTTGGGGCTCCGTTGCCATGTCGAGGCCAATCAGTGCCAGATCTCCCTCTTGAAAGCTGGGCAGCACAGCGGCTGTGAAGAGGTGGGCGCTGACACATGGCAGGGAGGTTGTCGTTGTGGGCTTACCGTCGCATGTCCAAGCAGCATCGCGCAAAAAGATAGCGCGCAGCAGGCAGCGGGCACTTTTTCAGCACCTGATAGGCACGTCGCACTTGACCTGAAAACGAGTGGAGAACATTGGAGCTCGAGTCAGATTGCATCATCGTGCCAGAGCAACGCAATGGGATGGCATCAATCGCACACGAACCAGATAGAAAGTAGCATTTGCCAAGCAACAGAGTGGCTTTGTCCGTGGCAGCTGTACATAAAAAAGAGTCCAAGACAAAGGCACGTGCGTGAGCGAGAGCCTGCGTAGAAGTACTGCTGCGAGCTGAGGCTATCTGCCCACCTTCATAGTAGAGGCGTTCGGCAAGAAAGCAGGCATTGTCGTAAAGAAACCAGTCCAGCGAGTGTTGGATCGCCGCCTAGAACATGCACGCGGTGAGGTGCAGTTTCAACGATAGAGGGGCGGACAGATGCACCTGGTAGGAGCGGGCGGCACCAGTTCCTCTCGACATACCTCCAAGGCGGCGACGGGGGTGTCGAGCATGTTGCTGTCACTGCTTTGGAGTTGCCACGACGCAACGTACGTAGCTTGGCTCAGTCGGCGTCCGTCCAAACCACACCAATCTCCAGAGTGCAAACAAACAATCCAATTCGCTCTATCAAGGTGCTGGTATCGGTGCGGTGTAGGCACGCACCGCCGCACCGCCCCTTCCGAAGCAGCCGCCGCGAGTCCCGTCCACACACACACACACACACACACAGACACGTTCGGTTCCAACAAAAAACTGATCTCTCTCTGATTTTTTTTTTTTTTTTAAAAATTTGGTCGTTACCGAATGTAAATGCTGACAGTAAATTGTCAGAAAAGCTGGCGCGCTTGTGGATGGGAGTTGTTTTTGTGTAGTTTGTGTTGGTACTTTTGAGGTTTATGCGGTTTCGTGTGCAGACCGCCACATACTTGTTGAGGAGATTTGACGTGTTTTCGTCGTCACGATGGCGGCGGCGATGGCGGTGCTGGTGGTGGTGGTGCTAGTGCTGGGCTGCTGCCATGGATCGACGGCAACGATGGCAGAGGCAAGGTGGGAAAATGCAGGGCCTGCAGGAAGCAAGGTGGTGAGCAGCGCATCTTTGATTCTCTTGAACGACTCGCATTCGCAGTCCCTGGGTACGTCCTAGCCTCGATTCGCGTTGCGACCACCATCGACGTCTGTTGGCGGTTCACGGAAAGGAAGTTCCTCTCAACTGCTGGAATGGTGGCGTGTAGGAGCCTTCTGCTTGGACGGATCTGCGCCTGGATACTACGTGAGGCCGGGCAGCGGGGCCAATGCCTCACGCCTACTGGTACACTTTCTGGGTGGCGGCTGGTGCTGGTCGGTCGACGTATGTGACGCTCCACCGGATCCTGAACGAAATCACGGGGCCGCGCACTCACCTCTTGGATAACTTCTGAACTTCCTGATGGCGTTGCTTTGCACATGGGTGAATCATTGCTCTGCGGGTGTAGGATTGCGCTGCGCGCAGCGAGGGTAACATTGGATCGTCCTCTAGCTGGACCACTGACGGCATCCCAAGCACGTTTAGCGCAGGGGGCATCATGGATGCTCTAGAGAGCGACTACGGCAACTATACGTTGCTGTACGTCATGTACTGTGACGGCTCTTCCTACACCAGCAATGCCAGTCAGCCATATGCCTTCAATGCCACCAAGAGCCTCTACTTTCGTGGCCGACGAATCTTGCAAGCACTGACTGACCACTGGGCCACGGTGTACCCAAGCCCACCCGAGGTCATTGTCACGGGCTCCTCAGCCGGCGGGCTGACCGTGTACTTGCACCTGGATGCAATTGCAGCTGCCTTTCCCGCAAGCACCCGAGTTCTTGGCATGGTGGATGCAGGCTTTTTTCTCAACCACAGCAATACCAATGGCGTTTACGCCTATGGCGATAGTTATGCAGGGGTGCGGGCGCTTTGGGGCGTTGATCAAACGTCCTTTGACAGCGGCTGCGTCCAAGCCCACGGGTCTGAATTTCCCGCCTGCTTCTTTGCGTCCGAGGCTTTCCCCCACATGGCGACCCCAGTTTTTGTGACCAACTCGGCCATCGATGCGTGGCAAATGGGTAACGTGCTGCAGGTGGGCTGCACCATAGGCGTTAACAGTACCGGTGGCTGCAGTGCGGCCCAGTTAGCGTCCATCGCTGCTTGGCGCGGAGATTTTCTCGAGGCCATCAACGAGGTCATTGAGCAGGCTCGGTAGGTGCAAATCTTCAGCAGGACCCATAGAGCCCGATTGGTCCCCACTCACGAGAGATCGTGTGTGTGTGTGTGTGTGTGTGTGTGTGTGTGTATGTGTGTGTGTGTTCAGCGCAAACCCACATCAGACGGGGGTGTTTATCGACATGTGCCCCGTGCACACAGAAACTTGTGGACCTTCTTGGTTTGGTTACACGGCTCAAGCTGCCTCCATGGCGGCTGCCTTCCGTGCATGGCGTGCCGGAACTGGCGGTAGGTACTTGTAGAGCCTGGCACATCTACAGCACGTGCCATGCGCAGCGACTACCCTGATTTCCGTTGATTTGGCCTCACTCGTGGTCTTTGCTTGGTATTGCTCTGGCTGGTGCGCGGGACTGGCGGCTCGTTCTCTTCTGTAGAGTCGGTCTGGGAAGATTCTTCGGCGCTGCCGTGGGAAGCTGGATTCAATCCCACCTGCGCAGCCTCGCCTGGTGGCTGGTGCTGACAGTTGGGAGCTCGCCTCTGCCTAAGCAACCATTTTTTAAACCATGCCATCACCGTTTGTTTCCCCTATTCAAATCCTTGTTTGATCCAATCACATGTAAATTCTATACGTCTTTCGAATTCAGGCACGGTGGTCTTTACGTAAGATTGAGTGAGCGCTTGGCGCGTTTGCGCCTCAGTGGTTGAAAAGCGGACGAGCCCGCCTCAGGAGCGGGCTCCTGGGTATCATCCTCGGTGGCTGGTGGTCTTTGGACATGTCGGTGCTTGCCGGCTGCCAGCGATGGCGTATCGGGGATCTGGACAAAAGGTTAGTCGTTGTGTGCCGTCGCAGGTAAGCCAGCGGCATTGGCACGGGCACTGGGGGTGACATGGCTTCAGGTAGATGGCAGGCAAAGCTGACACTCACCACTTCTTCAATCATACGGCCACGAGACGCCTCTGTCGCATCACGCATGTCTGTACTGGGACCTGGTCGAGCCGGCGTAGCTTTTGCCTGCGCCCCGCCATGCATTTGAGGCGGTGCACATCTCATGAGCCAGCCGCGCTGTTCATTTGGTCAACAGCCCGGGCTATAAAGGAAAAAAAGAACAGAATACTCTGCAGGAACTTTCAAAAGCCTCGTGATATTTTCGTCAGGGTACCTACCAAAACACCTGGGGCGCGGCTTTTGCTCCCTGGGCCACTTGCATCTGCAGCACTACTGCTTGCACGACGGTGACTGGACCCAGATCGCGAAGAACGCCTTCGTGGTTTGATCTGGATCTGATGCTTGCTTTGCATTGGATCAGGTTTCTGAATGCAAGCAAACACAAGGCACGTACGTGACCGGGAAACACTGTTGAGTTGTGGCGTTTGGGCGGCTAGACATACCCGAAACGTGGCAGCTTGCGGTAAAGTAGGATATGATGGTTCGCGTTTGAGTGTTGCAGCCTCCGTTTCACTCTCCCTGCGTTGCAAGCTGGACGCCCGGCGTCGCGCAACTCCCGAATTGGAAACCGAGGGCTCATCTAAGTGCTCCATGCCAAGCTGCTCGAGCACAAGTCGCCACGTCGCAGGTAGAGCCCGGCTATATCGCAGGGTTGCGTGCTATACCCATCATTCATGCCCGATGCCAGGCAGTGCAAGATGTTTGGGCAGGCCGGTTATCAGCGTTGGTTCGTATGGCACCTGAACTAGGCCTAGGCAGCCACAGGGCCCATTGCGACCACGCTGCCTTTCTTCCTTCTCAAAACAATTAGCTTACCGTAAGCCAATCAAGCGAGGTGTCGACAAAGGCTTGCGTCTCGTTCAAAGCCTGCACAAGATTCAAGGTGTCATTGATGGCAAAAGATTTGAGGTCCATGGGCTCGGGGCGCTCGTTCAGCTCCGCGTCGGCATCGGCTTCGGGTACCAGAGCCTTGGCTGGAGGTTGACCTTCCAAGTGTGGCCAGGAATTCAGAGCCAGGAGCAGCTCGAGACGCAGGAGGATGTTGACTTGCAGTCGCCGCACGGCGTGGCCCAAGAGGGCATGGGCAGCAGCGGCATCCCCCGGAGTGGTAGATTCTGCTTCAGGCGTTGAAGACAGCCGCTTGAGGCGGTGATTTCGGCGCTTGGCACGCGGGGCGGCCTGTTCTGCCTGACGCGAGGTGTCGCGGCGAATTCGTTGCACCTCGTCGACCAGGGCCGTTCGAGGTGTCAAAACCATCTGCAGGGCCTCCGTGCAAGCCGCCTACCCAATACAAGTGCCGGCGTTGATAATTTGCCACACGCAGGGTGGGACAGGATGGGGCATAGACCAACCTGTTGAGCATCAGACATTCCAGCGTCGGCTACAAGTTGCTCGACCCGCGAGGTCAGTTGGCTGACATCGGTCTCTCCGCGCGCTACCAGAGCTCGTGCCATCTCCTGCGGCCAGAAGAAGGGTGTGCCGGGATGAGTGGGAATTGACAGAAAGCTTGAGCCCCGTGCAACCAGAGCCAGTAGGTTGGTTGCAAAGGGAAAGTGGGAAAAAAAGAAAAGAAAGAGGACAAACACGAGGCGAGAAGAGATACCTGAATGCCAGCAGCCTGGACAGAGAAGCCTGTGGCAGGGTTACCGGTAGTAGCGGTGCTACTGGATTGGTTTGCTCCGGCGGTGTTTTGAGTTGCCGTGGTAGCATTCTCTAAGCTGTTCACCAGTTGATAGTTGGCAAGCGTCGCGCAGACACGTCAGACGGACCAGTGTAAAGTATAGAAGGAAGCGGTTGAGCGCACCGTTTGTCCCAGAGAGTGCGGTGCAAGCCCGGACGGCGAGAGGAAAACTTTTGAGCCGCGGGCGCCGGCTTGTACATGAAGGGCTCCAAAACGGAGGCATAAGGTGCCATGAGACCAGTCGTCCCTGCATCTGTGGGAGTCACGTAAATCAGACGTCCACATAAAAAAAAACTTTGCATGATACATATGAATCAACCGTCTGGCAAGGCACCCGGGCTTCAGGATCAGACGGCGTGGGATACCTGTTGCACGAAGGTCCAGGGGTTGGGCAGCCAGCTGCTGGGCATCGAGGCGGCCAAATGTCTGACAGGTACAGCGCGCAAGCGTTGGGACGCCTTCTTGTTGGGGTGCGTCCATGTTGAGCAAGGCAGCACGCGGAGGTGCAAGGAGGGATGTCACGTCAGAAGCGGGCACAGGGGTCCCTTCAAGGGGTCCCTGTGTGACAGCAAGTCGCGCAAACAATGGTCCACCGGGTAGCAAAAGGGCTGCTTCTTTTTGGCTTAGGGCCACAACCAGCGCAATCTTGTTCTGAGCGGAGGGATCAAGTGCAGGTCTTGAGGACGACACAAAGGCACCTGGGCCAGACGGAGGTGGAATTGCTGCGTTGCAGCAGGTTGACTCACCTCAAGCATGTACCGGTGCAGCCGAATGAAGGGGCGGGAGGCATGTCCATGACATTGGGCCGTTACCAGCCAGTTTGCTATGGCAGGTTGAGCACGTGCTTGGGATATGGGCATGGTCCCGATAACTTGAACATGTGTCCAGGTGCTGGTCGGGGCGTCGGCGACAGCAGCAGCTTCCATAGGATGGTCAGAGATTGAGTCGGCCAGAGGGGCGGCCACCAGCATGGTGCAGGTTCCTAAGTCAGGTGCAGAGACGTTGAGAAGGGGGTGAGCAAAGGGCAAGACAGAGATAATAGGGCAGTCGCGGGAGGCGAGGCGCGGCGCCAGCTGGGATGGACATTTATCTGCTTTTTTTTGGTTTTGGGGGGGCAGGAGGAGCGGCTGAGGGCAGGGCCGCACCATGATTGTTGATCATTAGCGGGTAGCGTCGAAGCTGAGCGTGTGCAGTGGAAACGTCGGCGATCAAGGACTGGAAAGGGGCCACAGCACCGGCGCTCGAGGGGCGTTTGCTGGAGGCAGGGTGTGGATTGGCCAGAAGCACGGCACGGTGATGTAATTGGGAGCCTAAAAAGTGGAAGGGGGCGAGCAAGAGAGGGGAAAGAAGAGGAAAAGAGAATGGAAGGAGGTATATGAGGTTTGCGCGCGCGACCGTGAGCGACGGCCTTGGGAACGCAGGTGTGCGCAGACCGAGCTCAAGAGCAGACGCGCACCAAGGAGGGAGCTCTCAAGATTGAAGAGCTGAATACGGTGCGCGCGAAGCCAGGCGCCGATTGCATCCGCTTGCTTGTGCTTTGCCTGTGATAGAGAGGGCCGAGGTACCGGGGAGTGAGGTGCAGCAACCGGGCGGAGTCAGTCAGAGTCGAAGATGAGCGGCAGGCAAGGATAGGGAGATGGGAAGACAGTTGCCGTGCCACTGACTTGACCCCAAGCCACGACGGCGAGCGCGACGCCCTTGTCGGCCAAAGGGGAGCGCAGGGTGGTGGGAAAGAGCTGTTCCAAATCGTCACTGTGCGCAAGCTGATCCATGTCCAACATCAACAGGACCAGGTGGTTGAGCATGCCGCCAGCTGCCGGAGGACCCCAGCGCTGGTTCAGGGCCTGCGCCAGAACGTCGCGGACGGAGACGGCGCCGGGTAGGTGCTTTGGCGGTGACTGACGAGGCAGTGTCGTCAGCTGGGCTTGTAAGACGTTTGAAAAAGTGGCAAAGGCAGCGGGGTCCCATGCCTTGAACCGTCGGTGATAGGGCTCGGGGCTTTCTGATATGCAAAAGTTCCATCGTAGATGGCCCGATCGAGACCGCGCCGCGTTGTTCAGTTCCGTCAGCAATCGCAGCGTCCAATCCGCGAGCCGGGCCGGTGCACAAACCACCCCCGGCCGTGCCACCACCAATACATCACAATCCATCACCCTCGTCGCGGTGCGCTCGTTACACACGCCCCGTTGTGTACGCGGACCGGGTGTGCTTCTTCAGAGAGGAAGGCGCCGGTGCTGGCTTGCTGACAAATGGCGGCTATCAATTTCATCTGACATTATGCCGCCGTTAAGAGAGAGCTAGCGAGAGAGAGAGAGGAGAGAGAGAGCTTGAGAGAGAGACAGAGCTTGAGAAATGAAAGAGCTTGGGAGAGAGCTTGAGAGCTTAGAGAGAGAGAGAATTGGTGAGAGAGAGAGAAGAGAATTAAATTTTACTCAGCTTGAGAGCTTTAGCTTGAGAGCTTGAGAGAGAGACTTTGGTCGTCCGCGTGGTGTGTGTGCACCTATTGACGAGTTGTGCCACAGAAGCACACACACGCATACAGAGACCGTCACACGCTCACTGGGTTCGAGGGTTTGTGTGTGTGTGTGTGTGTGTGTGTGTGGCAGCTTCGTCATCTCGAGCGCTTCATCTCGCAGCGGCGGCGTTGGCGGTGGTGGTGGTGGTGGATGGCAGTGGGGGATCGTGTGGTAGATGAAAGGATCTGATGGAATAAAGGTGGTTCTGCAGGACTGGGGCTGCAAATGTGGGCCGGCGCTGCGAGAGAGGAGAGGCTGAGCTAGCACGGGCGCGCACAGAGCCAGCAGCGGCAAAGAGTGGCCCATCGACTGGCACAGCCTCCGTGATCCAGACCCTTCTTGGCGTCTCAATCAACACTCGAGTCGTGTAGCAGTGCCGTCGCTGGGGCCTCGAGCTTGCTGTCAGAGCGCATCAGGCCAGCAGCCACGAGCGAACGCGTTCGTCTCTGATCAGAGCTCTGACGAGCTTGCCTTTCATCACGCCTTCATCTCGGCGGTGGCGCGGCCCATTCGCTCTTGGCCCTGCAAGCTCTCAAGATGGCTGCTGAACGCACACCGGGTTCTCGCCGCAACAGCAACAACAAGCGGGCGTACGTTACCTTTGCGATCGCAATGCTCGACCCACTCCCCGTGCGTTTTTGCTCCCGCACTCCCTGATCCGCGGCCCCCCTACTCCTCTACTCTGTAGTGATGCCGTAAGTCCAGGTGATCAACTCTTCACGTAAGTACTGCCTTTGACGGGCTGAAATGGCAAAGACTCGGGCCGCTGCCTGGCCCATCTCTCTCACACGCCACTCCTGTTCTCATCGTGCTTGTAACCGCAGGACGGAGTACATCTCGCAGATGCGCCTTGACGACAGTGAGCAGCTGACGGGCTATAAACCGATTGCCGATCGTTGGGTTCAAAAGTATAACCAACCCATCCAAGTAAGACTGTCCCGGGTTTCCCCTCGTTGCTGGAATTTCAGGTGCTGCGCACATCAACCCCCATTCAGCGCAATACCCGCGACCGTCCCTCACCCGACGAGCCCTTCTCCAGGTGCCATCTGGTCATGCTCACACTTTGGAATATGACCCGCCGTTGCTGATCGAGCCGCCATATCAGCTAGCCAAGTTTGCGAGACCGCGTGACTACGTGCCAGCCATCGTTCGATCGGTACGTTATTATCATTGCGCCAGCATCCCGACACTTTGTGTGGTTTGCGACTGTGCTTGGCACCAGGCACCTTGAAAAATCCAAGTCCATGTCGCTGAAGCGCCCTCCTTGACCGTGCATGACATGCTGCTTCAGGCCGATCAGCGAGGATTCTACGATGCCGATGAAGAGGACAACACGTGGTTGCGCTTGCACAATGAGCGCCACAAACCTGCCCTTACTCTTCTACAGCTGGAACGCACCATCTTTGAACTTGAGCAAGCCACATATCGAGCCCTGCTCCGTCATCCAGCAGCAATCGAATACGACGAGACTTCAACCTGCCACGTTTGCGGTCAGCCAGATAGCGAGGAGGGCAACGAAATGGTCTTTTGCGATCGCTGCAATGTGGGCGTTCATCAAGTTTGCTATGGCATCAACTCCATCCCCGAAGGGTCGTGGTGCGTACTGGCACCCAACGCGTTCCAACGGGCCATATCCGCCTCGGTGCCTCCTGCTTTTCTCAATCTGCTTGCGAATTCAGGTACTGCAATGCCTGTCAACGAAAGGCTCCGGTGTCATGTGCACTGTGTCCCTCGTCCGGTGGTGCCTTCAAGCCAACAACCAATCCCCGAACTTGGGCTCATCTTGTTTGCTGCATCTGGACACCGGAATCTGTGATTGTTGACACCGTACGTGCCCAGAGCCCCCATGGCTGGTGACTGCTTGTCAACCAAACCCACTGTCTCTCAAGCAGGTCGGGTTCACCTAAAAGCTCACGACTCTTCTTATCCTTGCCCTTGCTCCCGTTCTTGCTACGGCGATGCGTTACAGTCACGGATGGAGCCCCTGGATCTCCGAGAAATCCCACGTGATCGCTACAATCTTCAATGCGTCGTCTGCAACACGAAAGACGGCTCTTGCATTCAGTGCGCGGTACGACAGGCCTACGTCTGTGCTGAGATGTAATGTCAGGGCACACATCACGGCTTTTCATGCCTTGGTCAAGTGACAAGATTCACATCGTGTGTCAAAGTCTGACCAATATTGGCTTGTTGACTGCCTTCTTGCAGCATCCTACCTGTACGACGGCTTTTCACGTGACCTGCGCGATGCAACAATCGTATCGGATGGAAACGGTGATCCCGCTTCGCGGAGACACCGTGGATCGCCGAGCTTTTTGCCAGCGCCATCGCAATTTAGCCACAAACGATCCCGAAGGCACCACCCTGCAAACGCTTGTCGTCCGCGACTCGGCTGAGCCCGTCTTGCCATCGCTTGGTCCAGACTTTGCGCACCTGATCGACCCCGAGGCTTTGGGTAAGCGCGTGCGCGGTTCCAGGAAGCAAGATAAAAGTAGCAGCTGCTGCGACGTGCAAGAAGCAAGTCATGTCTTGTACTCACGCCATCGTTGTGCTTGGTGCAGATCTCAGGGATGTCCACCTGGACGACGCGGGCCGGAGGCGTATTTATGGCTATTGGATCTTGAAGCGGCGTCGACAGCACGGGAAGGCCCTGGTATGCTGCTAGAGCCTTCATGATAATGCAAATCCCAGTCCTTGTGCGCTCCAACCTGGCTCGATCGTGTTAGATCTGATCTATTTTCTGTCATTGCTTAGATGAGACGCTTTGTTCCGCCTGCGGGACTCGCACGTAACGGCACGACGCATACCGAAGAGGTGGATGAAGAGCAAGATGTTTACCAAAAGCTGCAAGCTGCTCGCCTGAGTCTCGGTCAGGCCCATCGCTTCTGCATCCTGGCAGCATGGAGCGGCTCTTTGGGTTCACAATCAAGTCGCCTTTGACCTTTTTTTGTGCTTGCTTGTGGGGGAGAGTAGAAAAGGCTCGCAGCTTGTGCGTGCAGGTGCAACGACGAGAGCGCAGCAAGCGTGAGCTGCTGTGCGTCATGCGCCAAGAGTTTGTCCTTGCCATGCGTGCGTATGCCCGGACACACAAGCTGGCTGAGAAGGACTATTGCGGGCCCAAGTCAGCTTGGGACAACGAGCGTGAACGAGATCCAGCTACTGGTCGTCTACGCTGGGTGGTACGCCGATCCATCCTCTTTCCACTCTGCCTCGCGCTCTGCCCCACACACCCATCGAACATCGACTCATCCTCGGCCATGTGTAGGTAAAGGAGTTGGATCCAGTGGCTGTCCAGGCGCGCATGGCCCACGCGGTAGCTGTGCGTTCAATGGAGGCATCAGCTCAACCTTCCGCTGGGACAGCGTTGTTGGATGATGCAACTACAGCACACGGCATCGCGCCTGCCCCTAGCTCGCCGCCTGCGGGTTCAAGTTTTAGCTCAAAGCCGACAGAACCTCGGGCATCCTCGGGTGCAATGCGCTCACCTGGGGCCGTGGTTAGTCCTGAGCTGCGGGCAGCTCTAGCTACCATTGTGCGGCGCTTGCGGAATGCACCCTTTTCTGGACCATTTCGTTTACCCATTGGTGAGAGTCGAGTCCTGCTACGTCTGCGCTGCTGGCATGATGATGCGCACACAACCCCAAAACCGTCGTGCTTGGTGAACACCTGCCTTGTTAATCACGGGCTTTGGCTGGTGGGGTGATTGCTAGGTTCTTGCAAAGACCGGGCCGGGCGTCGAGACTTGCACATGGATCTGTCGACGTTGCTGAGCCGTGCGGAGGCCGGGCAGTACCACAGCCTCGAGGCTTTTGATCGTGACGCGCTGTTGCTGTTTGACGGCTGCCCTTCTTGCTGCGGTGGGACCAGTGGCCCGTTGGCAGCCAAACGCAAGGCTTTGAAAGGTATGTTATTGTTCAACGCCGTTTTGATAACATGCGGGCTTGGCTTCTGTACTCATGCATCTTGTTCTGCCACCGAAAATCTCTGGTGTAGAGCTGTATTTGGAACTCAAGTCTAATCTAGCCGAACATTTAGGGCAACCACGAAACATAGATACATCGGCAGAAGTCAGGTGTGCCTCTTGCAACCGGTGCAGCGACGAGTAAACCCAGCCTGCCGCACACTCGCTGCTTTGGGCTGCCCTTTGCAACATAACCGTGCTTATTCGCGCCTGCCATCTTTTTTTTTTTTTTTTTTTGTCCATGTGCGTCTTTGGCTGTCAGGACCCGTCTGTCGCCGCGGCAAGTCAGTTCGCCGTCGAAGAAGACCAGCGTAAAGCATAGTCGCAACCCCACGCCATCTCCCAAGGCGCGGTCAAGCCCAGCCGTTGGGACGGCGTTGAAGGGCCACTCGGCACGGCAGGGCCGCCGCAGCACACGGCGGCCGCGAGCCGCACAAGGCATCGACTACCAGGATCAAGACGGCGATGACGATGAGGCAGCAGAACCCAGTGCGGCAGGGAGCGACAGCAGTGAATGGCAACCCGAGGCGGAGGAATCCGATGACGCCACCTCGCAGCGAAAGCGTCAATTTTCTTCAAGCGCTGATGACATGGCTCAAGAGGACTTGGTCAGCCAAGGCGGCGAAAGCGAGGCCGACGAGTCAGTTCCCTCGCGACCAACCCGGAACCGCCGACGAGGGCGCCTTGGGCGAGATCGTGTATCCTCACAGCCCGCGCGGCGCCACTACTATGAAACTTCCGATTCTGAGTCTGATTTGGGGGTGGAGCGCGCAACAATCCTCGATGAAGCGGCAGCGCCCCCCGTTAAGCGCGTGCGGCGCGTGATTGAGACAGATTCCGACTCGTCATAATGAAACTCGAGGTGGTGGTTGATATCAATGTGCTTTTTGTTGCGAGCCGCATTTATAGACGAGAGGCGAAGAACAATTAATTTTATTGACAGTCATTGATGATACACCTTGGCCATGGTTCGAGCTTCAAGTCCGAGCCCAGATGCAATGGGTCATCACAGGCCAGGCTTCTTGGGGGGGAGCATGGCGACTTAGCGCGCGGCGCGAGTCATCAGGGCAGCACTGCGATGGACATCTACTTTTTGCAATCGTACTTGCCTGTCAAGTGTACACCATCGGGCAGGAGGCATGTGAAGGAGGAGATACAGAAATGGCACGGCCAGGCGAATAGAATGGATTCAGATCAACTACGTACGGAAAGAGGGTTGATGCCAACATTTCTAGCACGCGTGTTGCCTCCTAGCCGAGGTGGGGCAGGGTCAGGTTTTGGCCGGAGAGCACTGTGCCAGGGTAGCAGGTGGGCAAACAAACCTGAGCATTTGTCCCGATGCAAATGCACTCGAGCAGATCATGACCGGGGGTCAGCTCAACTTTGGTGGACTAGACACACACCGAGCATAAGGAGGCAAGGGCAAACCATTTGGGCTGCAGGGCGCAACAAGAGTTTTGAATGGAAAGAGGAGGAGTGGGCCGTCTGACCAGCATACCGGGTTGGAGACGCGAGCCAGGCGAACGGAAACTTGGCTAGCGAAGATATTTTCCGCGCCACGATGCAGATACGAGGCTGAGTGCCTAATTGGTTAGCATTCGATGACAAATATTGAATGACCTATGACGGCGAGCAAGGGGGGGGGGCTGGCCGGTCCCTTTGACTTTGAGCGCAGCGTTGCTCACCGAAAGCCAAGGGCTTCAAGCATGGGGCGTGGATTACTCTGACTCGCGGAAATGATGACGGTGCGCCGAGTGACTGGGTCCTTTTGACTTGGCTCACTGCGATGTACGACTCGCCTGCGAACGAAGGGTCGTGGGCGCGGACGTGAGTACAAGCACGGTGTGGGTGATCTGCAGCCTGGTCGAGGTGGGGCGTTGCCACATAACATACCAGCCATCTCCGGGGACCAGCCGCTGAACTCGGAGACGAGTTGGTGCGCTTGGGACAGCTGTGCTGGTCGTCGTCGGGACTACAATGGGTCCGAACACATCAGGAACGGTGTGAGTTTGACATACCCGCGCCTCCCGATCATGCTCTGAGCGTGAGCTCTGAGCAGAATCAAGCATTCCAGGCTGCAAAGCGAAGCGCCACACAGTATCGAACCCTTTTCATAGATGTGTTCCAGGAGCTCAAAGGCGTGAGCCTCTCGGCCACAGACGGCCTCAAGCTTTGCCAGTACCCTAAGAGGTGCCCAGCGCAGCTGTGATGAGCTAATCGTGCGATTGGTGAAGTCTCAATGCCATCACACTGACCCAGCTCGCTGCTCATCCGACACTGCTGCCGTCAGCAGGTGCTCCACAACCTTGCCCATGGCGCTGACCACAGGCCACGGCGTCTACTTTCTTGACAATTCAACGATGCGCGCCCTTGACCAACTCGCCCGAACTCAACCCCCGGCATCAGCGGGCTCTGCGAGCAGTGAAAGTTTGAGAGAGAGAGTTTGAGAGAGAGAGAGAGAGAGAGAGAGAGAGAGAGAGAGAGAGAGAGAGAGAAAAATTCAACAAAAAAGGTTTTTTCTTTTTTTTTTTACATCAGATGTTAATTTTTACATGTTAGTCTTTTGATCATCGACATCTGGGTGAACACGAATATGTTGTTCTGACCAGTTGCTTGCTGGCTGGGCAGGCAGGCAGGCATGCGTGATAAGGCGATGTGGAGGTGCTTGAATGTCTCACCGTGACTAAATGAGGAAAAGAGGGCAAACACTTGACATGCTTCGATTGTCAAACAGAGTACAATTCGCACACTTGCACTCATGCACAAAGGCTCACCCGCTCACGCAAGCATGGTCCTACATTGTCGACTTGATGCTCCAACTCGTACACCACGGGCAAAAAAAGGTATGATCCCCAGGGACATCAAGCACGCTTGGCACGCTTGGCGTGCGGCTGGTCCACGGGTTGGCTTTTACGAGGCCCTTTAAATTTGAGCAGCGAGCTGCATGGGCACAAGGTGTGCAGAAAAGGATGAGTGCAGATGCCAATGCAGCAACAGTGTCATCAATAGAGTCACGCAAGACAAACCTTGGCGCCTCCGCTGCCACTTCCGACGGCTTGTCCAATTCACGTGCAGGATACGCGCGCGTGGCTTTGGCAAAACAGCTGTAATGGAAAAAAAAAAAAAAAGAAAGAAAAGAAAAGTGAAAGGTGAGCCACCATTCACCACATGTTCATGTTGGATGTGCGAGTCTTGGATGCCGTGGACGATGAGGCGATCGTCAGTATGGCACCACTTGGGCACGGGTGCAGGGTTTGTGCAGTAAAACCACGCGATGGTATTCTGGAGAGCACGAGGCATGGGAGTCAGGGTAAACCCACTTTTTGGGATCAAAGCGGTCCACGGATTTGAACCAGGGCGCAGTCAGCGCCTCATCCGCACTGATGCGCTTTTCAGGGTCATAGTGAAACATGCGGCGCATCTGTGGCATCGCCCGCAGGCGAACAGGGCAGTCGAGTCAAAATGTGCAAGGCCACAGATTCCTGAAGGCACAGGTGGTACTGGGAACGGTTCATACCAAAGAGAGGCGCGTCGAGCTCTCCGGCTCGTTCATTCGTTTACTGAGGACATCGTCGCTGCCACATCGCATGCACCACACAGGGCAAGGTCAAGAGAAAAGCTTTTTGCCCCCGTTGAAAGCGACTTGACGCACGAGGTGCCTGCACGTACAATTTGGAAGCTTTAGTTTTGAAGTCACGCTTGAGGTCAGGGTAGCGCGGCATATGCTTCAGGAGTGACCATTTCTCTATTCAACCCAAGCCGGTATTATGGAGCGTGGCGTTAAAGAAAGGAGCCAACCACAATGCTCAATGCTCAGCCAACCACGGTGCCCGCGCTTATCCAAAACACTCGTTTGGTCCGATGACTTCTCGACTCACGCTCATCGGGCATGCCCAAGACTTTGAAGATGGCTTCAAGTTGTGCTGCGTAGTAAGGATCACGCGAATTCTGGTCATCTATGAACAGCAACAAGTATGGCGTGACGTGCGAGCTGTACACGGCGACAGCGGGGCGGGAGATGCTAGCCATGCAAATCGTCGACGTGCAACGCACTCTTCACATGAAAGATGGGCACCAGATTAATGAGCTCGGCAAAAATACAGCCAATACTCCAGATGTCAATCGCTTTGGTGTAGTGCTTGGCACCCAGCATGATTTCTGACAGGTGGGGTGGGGTGCAGGTGAGTGTGGCCCAGGCTAAGTGCCTTCTCCCCGAGATTCACAAGCCTCACCTGGTGCCCGGTACCAGTAAGTCACAACGACTGGGTCAACGTCGGAGAAAGCTTTGGGTGGGGCCACAAAAACGCGTGCCATGCCCAAGTCACCTGGAGGGCGGTGGCAAGCAAGAGAAAGACAATGGCAGGTGAGGAGAGAGCAAGTCACGCCTGCGCTATTCATCAGGCGAGGCATGAGGGTTTGCAGGACGGTCGGGCCAGTCGCCATTGTGACTCACCAATCTTGATAGACCCGCCTCGTGTGAGAAATACATTTGCCGGTTTCTGTAAGGACAGTCATAAGAGTGAGGGAGATAGACCTCGAATGGCTCGAGAGGTTTGAGCGACGGACTCTTACGAGATCACGATGCAGGACCCATTGCTCATGAAGATAATGCACGCCTTGCAAAAGTTGAAACATGATGCTCTTCAGCATGGGCTCTTGCACTGCACGAGACGATTCCGATGATTGAGCAAGGCAGTGGGTTGAGAATCCAGGCCGCACTGGGGAAGAACGTGCGTACAAGTCGGAGGGAGAGCATGTGGGCGTCACACTTACATCGAAGGTTTGCGCTACGATGATCATTGCAGAGCCACTGCGCATACAGCATTCAAAGTGGGGTCAGGGTGTCGTAGCACAAGAACGCATTTGCGAGTGAACCACGGGTACAGCGCGGCATTGATGTCAAAACGGCAACACGTACCCAGAGGTCATACTCTGCGTAGTCGAAGAGAAGCCAGACTTCCTTGGTCATGGAGTGAATAAAAGCCTCTCGCAGCGAGATGACGTTGTCATGATGAAGCTCGCGCAGTAGCTGGTGTAGATCAACATCAAGCATGAGACGCGGGCAGCGAGCTCCGCCGACTCTTGCGAGTTGCAGCGCGAGGGCACGTACAGCAAGTTCGCGCAGATTGGCCGTGGAGAAGCCTTCGGTGCGAGATACCGAGGTGACCATGCCCTTGAGGGCGTAAGGTTTGGTGGTGTCGTCCAGATCATCGCTAATCATTCCAAACGCAACAAGTGTTAATCACAGCCCCAGGCCTTGCGGGTCCCAAGGAGCACGAGCATGTCGCAAAAGGCTGGTGGGCAGGGTAACGGCACAACGCACCCTTCTTGACGCAGTGCACAACCTCGATTCAGCTGACGAGTGCCTTCCAGGCGATAAACCTTGTGAACAATGCCATATGTGCCTTGGCCCACACAGCCTGCCAAGTGCGAGGGTGATGCCAACGAGGTGAGGGGCCGCCGAGGATGAGCATCAGCCGGAGCATGACTGTGTGCGGGTTTCTGAGTTGACATACCCGCATTGGCAAAAATGGTCGAGCAGTCCACGACGCTCTGCGCCATCTTTTGCCGAAAGGCCTTGGACGCCATCCTGCTCCTCCTCCTCGGTGCCAAGGCCCTCCTTCCCCCTCCTACTGCCCCCTCGAAGGCTCTGGACAGCGTTCAGAGAAGAGAGAGAGTTTGAGAGAGAGAGTTTGAGAGAGAGAGAGAGAGTTTGAGAGAGTTAAGAGAGAGAGTTTGAGAGAGTTTGAGAGATTTGAGAGAGTTGAGAGTTTGAGAGAGAGAGTTTGAGAGAGTTTGAGAGATTTGAGTTTGAGAGAGTGAGAGAGAGAGAGAGTTTGAGAGAGCGAGTGGAAGTGTATTTTTTATCTTACTTCCGCTTGAGCCGTTTTTTTTCTTTTCTTTTTTTTTTTGGATGTGTGTGTGTGAGAGAGAAGTTTCATGTTGTTGTGGTGGTGGTGGAGCATCGTTCTGGGTGACTTGTGCGGCGGCGGCGGTGGTGACGGGCCAGGCGGTGGTGGGCAAGATGGGCTTGTTTTGAAGCAGTATATGAGGGGTGTGTGGTCTGTGACGGCACAGATGTACTTTGGGTTTAGTTAGTGTCACGTTCACTTTTGCGGTCCGTGCTGCTGCAAGCATGGCCAAACACATCGAGGTCATTGATTTGTGCCTGAGCAGCGATGATGACGATCACCCTACCCAGATGACATCTTCCCGACAGCAAAGGGCGTCGTCGATGGGTCCAGGCCGTGTACCACATCCTGTGGATTCAGTGGCTTCCGGTGCCATTGCTGCTACCGCTGCAGCCTTGGGGTCCGCAAGAGAATCAGGCCCGGCTGCCACGGACTTGACAGCTGCAGTGCTTGAAGCACCGACCTTCGACTTGAAGCTGCCCACTCTTGGTGTTGTGTCAATGCCCGAGCCTTCGGAATGCATTGTGCTTGATGATGGTAGTGACGACGAGTCACTACCAGATGTCTGGGACCCTGCCGCTGCCTGCCCCGTCCGTTCTGCTCAAGCGTCGTCTCAGATACAGGCAGCCACGTCTCGGCCAACTACGGCTTTGCAGCATGCTGCGTTGACAGCAACGCAGGCACTGTCTGGCGAATACCCTTCCAGTGAAGCTCGATCTCGGTACTCGTCAGAGCGACCTGCTCGGTCCACGCCAGCTCCTTCAGCACAACAGACTCGCGTGTCCTTTTCGACAAAGGCCTCGCCTACAGCTGAACACCCACTGCCAAGGCCTGGCGCTGCTGATGCAACAGAAGTAATTCTGTTGAGCCCAGATCCCCAGCGCCCAACATCTCCATCTCAGAGATCACCCACTTTAGCGCCGCAAAATCTGACGCAGCGCTTTCAAGAGGCCTCTCAACAGCGTGCAAATGCAGCAGGTCGTGAAGATCCGGACAATGCAGATGCCCGCATCTGTCTCGACGGTGGTTCGCCACTGAGTCTGGCGCAGCGCCTGCGGCTGCGCTTTCTCGAGCAACAGGAGCTTGCGCTCCCCTTAGCATCAACAACCAGTCAAGGCACCAGTGCCTCATTGGACAGGAGCCAAGCCGCCAAGCGTGTAAAAACTCTTGCACAAATCACCGGCGTCGACACAACCATTGTCGAAGCACCCTTTCGCTCACAAATGCCACAGCATCAGGAGCGTCGCTGCCATGGGGCCAATGAGGCTGATCATCAAGCTCACCCGCCCTTTTATGGAGAAGATAACTTACCTTCTTCCACCAGCCAAGGCTCTGATCCCGCACATCAGTCCTCAGCTCGTACTGGTCCAGCTGCGGCGCCTAGCTCAGCCACCGACCCCGAACGCTTGACTGCCACTCATGCTTCAGCGACATCTGCAGCCGCACGCAAGGTCCCTGAAGCTGCGCGAGAAGTGAGCAAGCGCTCGGCTCAGCTTCGGCGCGAATTATCCCGTCAAAATCGACCCGAAGATCGCCTCGCCACCATGTCTGTATACTGCTGCGCCACGCTTTTAGAGGTCAGGCACATGAATCATGGCAGGCACTCCTGCCGTGCTGAAACTTGCGCTTGCCATCGTCATAGCCCGCGAAACCATGGCCACTCATGTGCGGTTTCTTTGCCATCTCTTCTTCGTATGCAGGCCCGACGATACAAAAAACTGCGCGAGCAGCTCGAGGCCCAACAAGTTTCGGTGCAAGTCACCAATGGCTTGCCCCTGAAAATGTCCATCCGTTTCATGCGTCGGGTTGATACCCTGAATGAAACAACCGCTACCATGTATGTTGTGCTGCCAAGCCCTGTGTGCAACCATCTGCATTCGTGTCACCAGGTGCTCGCGCCCTGGTCTCATCTTGTGCACTTTTTGGTACTGTTCTTGATCAAAATCCAATCATCCCGTTTGTGGCTTGCTATCCGTTGCCTATCGACCCTGGCATCTATTTGCAGCGAGTCTTGTTTGGAGGAGGAGCCACATGTATTGATGGTGGTAAGTTGACCACGGCGACAAGACGTTTCGTGTGGGCCCGACCTAGGAGGCAAGCATGAGTCTTTATACACCTGCCTTGGTTCCGCATGGGTTGACCCTTGGCAGCTTTGGGCCGACACCTTTGTACCACAGGCCACCGACATGTCCATTCGCAATCTCGCGCGCGAGATCAAGACCCATTACCAAGATCTCTCCAAGGTGGGCCTGTTGGTCTGTCCCCGTTGGTCCCACGACTCTTGGTGCATCCTCGTCTCACTTGGACTGGCTTCCAAACCGCATCCGGCAACATGCAACAGGTGACGTTGATTGTAGAAGGCGTTGAGCCATATTTTCGAAAGCAGTCCAATGCCGCCAATCGCGCGTGGCGCCAGCAAGTCAGCACTGGGGAAGCGGCAGACACGGACACGGATGCCATGCTGGGAAAGATTGCACAAGTTCGAACGGCGGTGGACCACGTGCTTATATGGCTGCAGATGGAGGCTGGCCTTCATCTGCGCGAAACAAACACGGCCGACGAGACCATGGAGCTCATTTGCATGATGACCAAATCCATTGCCACGCTTCCCGACAAATTGCAAGCCGCCCAGTTCAACATCAATCCCCATGTGACACACTGCGAAAAGGTTGCCAACGCGCATGGCCTTGCCCTGGTGTTCCCGTGCCAGCCACAGGACGCAATACTGTGCACCTTGCGTGTTTTCATGAATGCTGTTTCTAATCAGGTTGATAGTGCAACCTTCCGCGGTTTGCGCCAGCTTTGGCGCCGGCAGCTGAGCTGCTTTTCGTGGATTTCGGATGACAAGGTTGGTGTCGAAATGTGCTTTGGCCAGAGTTCTTGGCTGTTCATGTCCGCCGATGACCTTTTCTCATGACTTGATATGTCAGGCCGAGGCAATTGTGCAACACTACCCCACTCCCCTGGCCTTGGCACAGGGTTTCCGTCAGCATGGCGTTGATGCAGTCGCCTCGGTAGGTCTACACTGCTATTGGCAGTTTTCAGCGCATGCCGCTGTGTTCTTGACACAGGGTTACTGATGCCTTGTGCTCGCGTCATAGTTGGTACCGGTCGGGCACGCTCGCGCGGTTGGCCAAGCTATTGCAGAGAAACTCAAGGTCTACCTGGAAAGCGAAGATCCCAATCTGATGCTTTAGATTTAGAGCTCAAGTGACTGGCCAAATGTCGGCAGAGCCGTTGGGTATTGAGTCGCCCAATTTAAAGGGATTAGTATAATGTTTCGGTCATTGAAGACTTGTTTTCCAAGGGCCAACATGCTGTTTAGTAATTGTCAAGCTCTAAGCTCGGAAAGCCCTTGGCAGCAATGTGACACGAAAGGTAGGTTTGCCTATTAACATGTAAATTCATCACGGGGCAAGAAGTGGCATGGCTGGTGCCAGTCACAGTTCTTTTCAACCACGGTTACAAAGGCGGCAAACGTTTATACATAGCGCTGAAAGATTGATCAGTCCCAAACTCAGAAAGGAAAAAAAAAAAACAGGTGGGGGGCGGAGGTAATTCCTAGGCTTGGGATGCGCGATTGAGATCAAACGTATCGTCATCCTTGTGCATTTCCTCCAGGGCTGCGTACTCACTGTCCATCAAAAGTTGTTCAGTCATATCCGATCCGATGCCCCGAGTATGTCGCTGGGTGTGACGATAGTAGGCCATGCCAGCCATGGCGCCCGCAACAAGAAAGAGTGCAGTTACCAGGAGCGCTACAGCGGTGCGGCGGTGTTTATGTTTACTGGAAGACGCGGGAGTAGACGTAGGGGCAGCCGTTGATGTTGAGCTGATAGAGGCTACCATAGAAGCGCATGCAATGCGCGGCGCCGTTCCGTTGGAGCCATGAATCACAATGGAGCGGGCTCCTACGCTTGTTGCCCCACTCAGCGGCAGCTGGATATCCGTGTAGAAGCTACGCGAAAGGGGCAGAGGACTCGCGGCACCGAGGCTCAAGGTGCCATGCTTGTGGGCGAGGTCTCCCAGCTCACAGCCCGCCTGCAGCCCACTTTGGCCACAGCTAGAGGAGTAGCCACAGTCTGCACTCAGACAAACTTCGTAGGGATTGTAGTGCCCACCTGCGGATGCACAATCACTGCCAGAGACTGGAGACTGGTGTACATGCCAGGCATGGCCCATGGACACTCCCGAAGAGTGCGCTGAATGCGCCAGCGCGACCAGGACGCTCGTCTCCGCATCCGGATCGTCCCGCAACTGCTGAAAAACGATGCTTCCGGTGACCGCACTCGCGCTACCCGTTGACGTGAAGTGTGCTTTGTAAGTGAGCACCGAGTGGGTGTCGGCATACTGAATTGTAGCGCAAGCCAGGCGCGGGGCGCCTTGAGCCGTGGAATGCAGCACTACGCTGCGGCCAACGATAGAGTTGACGCCAAAGAGTGGCAGGTGCATGTCAGAGTAGCCGACGTCGATTGAAGTCAGACCTCTGAGCGAGCCGTGCTTGCCGCTGAGGTCGCCAACCTCACAGGCGTCACCAGTGATAGATGGATCGCAGGTATTGCCGGTATTGTAGGGGTCGAAATGGCCCCCCACGGCAGCGGGGCTGCATTGCGCGGCGCTGGGACTTGAGAGACCCACTTCGGAGGGCGCTGGAACCGGTAGAACATGGACGTGGTAGCCTCCAATGCGCTGTTGAAGGCCAGCCAGGTTGACCGTGACGTAAGTCGGGGCGCCTGGATAGGCTTGGGCAAAGCCGACCGTGCCGCTGATGCCACCCATGGCCACGGTGGCGGTGGCGGTACGGGGGGCACGGCGGCGCAAGGTTGCACATGTTAGGCGGGCACCAGCACCATCGGCGCCGTGCACGACAATGGAGCGCCCGATGATTGAGTCAGGGCCAGAGAGGGGCAACTGGAGGTCTGTGAAGAAGGCGCGGGCGCCGGGCAACGTGGCACCGCTTAAAATATTGAGCGGCCCGTGTTTGTTGGCTAGGTCACCCATCTCGCAGCCAGGTTGCAAGCGGCCCACACCGCAGGTGGAGGGATAGCCACAGGCAGCCGTGAGACAAACATCGAGCGGATTGTAGTGGCCACCTGCACTTGCGCAGTTGAGTAAATCGGGGGCATCCACGTGAACGTGCCAATTGTGGCCGCTGGTGGCGCTCTGCGATTGGTTGGTGTAGCGCAGGTCAACGAGCACGGTGGTGTCGGCATAGGGATCAGCGGCGTCTTGCTGAAAGGTAATGTCACCCACGACATCACCCATGAAGCGGGCAACGACAGTCGTCACCGAGTCTGGCTCGGGCTGAATGGTGGCGCAGGCGAGGCGGGGGTTGTTGTTGGCATTGACGTGAATCACGATGCTGCGACCAACGATGGAGGCGGCGCCAAAAAGCGGCAGGTTCCAATCGGTGTAGGTGATGGACACGCTATCCAGGTTGGCCAAGGTACCGTGTTTGCCAGCCAGGTCTCCGACCTCGCACTGGTCGTCAGTCATACCGGGTGCGGAAGAGCAGGGAACGAGGGCATTAAAGGGGTTAAAATGACCGCCGACAGCAGCGCCAGAGCATTGGTCGACGCCCGGGCTTGCGCCGACGGCACTGGGTTCGGGCACGGGGAAGGTGTGAACGTGCCAGCCGCCAGCCCGCTGGTGCAAGCCTTTAAGGGTGACGGAGATGGTTGTGGCGCTATCGGGGTCGGGCTGGCTGAATTGAATCACGCCGTCGACGAGTTCTGTGTTGAAGAGGGCATGGACGACGCGCGATTTCGGCGCGTGGAGGGGGCTGCAGAGAAGTGGGCTGCCACCCTTGGTATTGGAGAGGAGGAGAACGGGGTTGCTCAGCGTTGCCAGGTCCTCGGCCAGGGTGGTGACGCAGTGTGCGACGCCACTGGTACTTTGCAGATCCAGGGGTCCATTGCAAGTCTGGGTCAGGTTGATGCTGATGGCGGGGGTTGAAGCGGCAGCGCAGAAACTTGCGAGGGTGGAGGTCGCGGGTCGATCAGCCAACAGCCAGTGGGCAGTGGTGGTTGGAAGGTTGGCAGGGTTGGGAGAGCCAAAGCGGAGCGTGAAGCGACTGAGGATGTTGTCTTCGAAGCGGCTCTGGCGGGCCATGAAGGAGGTGCGCAGCAGCTTGTTGTGGGCTTTGCCTTGGAGGGCGCTATTGGAGACGCCCTGGGTTTTGATGACAAGGTTTGAGCAATAGAGGGGTTGGTTGGTGGCAATATTTACGAGGACCAAGGCGCGACCGGTCAGGGCGACGAGGTCGCGTGGGGCGGTCTTGGCTTGGCCATGACGGCACAGGGAGGAGGAGCAGTCGGTGAGCTTGCCGAAGATACCCTCAAGGTCACCCGGGGCGCAATTGCTGGGATCGGCGCTGCAACGGGTCGCGTAGTTGGGGTTGGCTCGCAGATTTTGAGGATCGTAGAGCTCGCCAATCTGATCCAGGGAGCAGGCCTCGAGCTGACTCTGCGAGGTGGACTGCCGGGGGTAGGTGGCGACATACAGGCGTACGCTACCGGGGCTGGGCAGCTGGCCAGTAAAGACGAGGCTGGCAGATGCACCGGCGCTGTCGCCAGCATCGATGGAGGCACTAGCCGTGATGCCGTTCATGGGCCCCATGGTGCTCATCGTTTGATCTGTCCCAAGGGCAAGCAAATGGGGTGAGGGAGAACAAGGGTCAAGGATGCAAGGAGGATGTACTTGATGGGGGAGG